TGTGTTGGTATTCTCAAAGCTGAGTGGAACTTAGAATCAGCTGGAGAATTTTTTTTAAATGCCAATACCTGGAACTTACAGCAAAGGTTCAGATTTTGTTTACCTAGGGTGAGGCTGGAGTATTATCATCTTTTAAAAGCTTCATAGCCAATTCGAAGATGCACCCGGCCTTGAGAACCACTGCCCTGGGAAAGGTTAATTCACATCTGACCTGACCTAACTGGGCATGGTACACTTGTGGTTACTTAAGGTTTATAAGAAGTCTATCAGCTATGCACGTTCTGGAAGAGACTACCACAAGCCCTTTAACCATCTTTAACTCTTACTAGTACTAAAGCATTCTTTATTAATTAGCATTAACAATATTTCAAATTATTTGTCATTGAAAGGAGGATTCAAGATATGTGGTGTGGCTAGAAAAGCATATAACTATACTGCCAGGTATTACTTAAGTATTAAGCCCTACTGTGTGTCAGACATTTTGTTATGCCTGTTGGAGTCCTAAGTCTATAGTGAGTACAAGGACTTTGTCAGATCTCATGTTGGGCCATACATGGAAGGTTCTGTCGCCTGATTAGACCAGAAACTTACCTAAAATTTGCTACTAAGATGTGGTTTCATTGGCCTCAACTCAACCTTTTATGCTGTTTGTCGTATGAGGGCCTAAGATGGGGCCGGTTTCATTGAGTTTATAGAAGAGCCTGTGTGGCTGTGTTTGCCTATTGGCTGACATGGGTTCATATGTGTGGCAAAATTCGGGTTGTGACATGTAATTTACAAGGCACCTGCCATAAGGTGTGGAGGTAAGACCTACTGTCTCACCTACCTCTCCCTCCGGGGGCCATCAATACCTGCAAAAAGAAAGCTTGTGCCCCACTGCTTACAGGCAGTGTGCATGTGCTTTGATTCTAGAGCCCTGGGCAGAAAAGGACTTTAGTCTTACCTTTGTCTCTTGAGAGGAGATGAAGGCAGATACCACCATCCTGCTCAAATAGGTCTCCAGTGTGTTCAGCTTTTCAAATATAGGTTGTTCCGTTCCTGGTAGGTGGGGGTGGGGAAACAACCTTGAACCTTCTTTGCTTCATTTTATGACCTGCCTTTGGCATTTTCAAATGTGTAAACTGAGCCATGGCTTGGCCGTAAGGCTACTTAGATTCCTAGTCAGGCAGAGTCAGCCTCTTCTCTGAGCCAAGGGAGGTGAGTAGCTGCTGGCTCCGGGAAGGCTATGAAGAGGGATGGCAAAATGAGCAATTGAAGTACAACCGCGGAACAAGGTGTCTTCTGAGTCAGAATCTGGCTACGGTCCTTGGAGTCATTCCTTTTAGTATGGAGGTGGGTGTTCTAAGGACACGGAATGTTAATAACAATGAAATGTTATGCGCTATAAGATGTCTTTGATTGGAGCAAATAAAGGGGCCTGTTTTTTTTTTTTTAAAGATTTTATTTATTTATTTGCCAGAGAGAGAGCACAAACAGAGGAAATGACAGGCAGAGGGAGAGAAAGAAGCAGGCTCCAGTTGAGCAGAGAGCCCGATGTGGGACTCGATCCCAGGACCCTGGGACCATGACCTGAGCTGAAGGCAGAGGCATAACCCCCTGAGCCACCCAGGTGCCCCAAGGGGCCTGTTTTGAAAAACAGCCTAAACATCCACAGATGGGACAGTGGGTAAATAAGCAATGGTCTGTCCACACGTGGAAATACATGCGGTTGATTAAAATAATGAAATAGATTGGTCTGTGCTGGTAGAAGACGAGTGCTCAGACACATTATCAGGTGAAAAAAATCAAGTATGAAATCTAAGATTGCAAATAAGCAACATTCTGGGTCTTTTTACTTTTTAACAATGGCATGCAGAGATTACTTACATAGTTAAGAAAATATAATAAGAGAAATATCTTAGTAGAAGTACAGTGAAGTACAAGGTCCCCATATTTGGAAAGATGAGATTGCCCTTGGAGCGGAGCTGCCGCACAATTCCCAGGGTGGGGTCTGGGCACATCTTTGGAACCTGGGGTGACAACAGTTAGTGTTGTGGGCTCTGTTCCTCTGCCTCTCTCTCCAGCTGGAAACAGGGTGCTAATTCTGGTCCCACCGAAATGCAGAAATGCTGTGGAAACTGGGTGAAAGGCTCATGAGGTAACTCCAATAAGACCCAGGAACTATTTCCCTGCTCCCTCTGTCCGCAGACGGCTGATGCTGGGTAAAGAACGGTAGAACCACTGAGAAGCTTTTTTCTCTGAACTCATCTCGGTAAGGCAGGGTTGTGCCTAGTGTGAGAGTAAGATCCAGCCAAATATATACGTTTCAGAACTTCCCCCAGGAGGTGCTTTTACAGGAGGGAAGTTTTTAAAACAAAACAAAACAGAAGAGACAGAACTTCCCTCTAGTTGAGAAGTTCTTTTCTCAATTTTGATAAGAATGATTTGAAAATACAATTTTGTCTTATGCGTTGTCAGGGAGCCAAATGCACCTAGAATCCCTTTTTGAAGCACAGATCCTGTCCTATGTTGTCATGCCTACTGGCCCAGCACGGGGACAGTGGCGCAGAGAGGAGTCCAGCAGGGGCTTTGCTGACCTGACGATCATGGCTGACCTGCCCGGTTCGCTCCTTTTCTCTCAGTTCAGCCCATTCCACGAACTGTCCTCCACTCTCACTCTCTGCAAAATTCCCTTCAAGACTTCCTGGAGGGGCACCTGGGGGGCTCAGTCAGACGGGGGGCTGCCTTTTGATTTCGACTCAGGTCTTGATTTTGGGGTCGTGAGATCAAGCTGGGTATAGAGTCTGCTTGAGATTTTGAGTTCTCGATCTTCCTTTCCCTTTGACCTCTCCCCCTACTCACTCACTCTCACTCTCTCGGTCTCAAAAAACAAAACAAAAAACAAAACAAAACAGACTTTCTGGAGTGTCCCGTACAAAATCAGTCAGGTTTGAGAGGAAAAACTCAGGGAATAGTGGAAGATTAAAGCTTGATGTGCCGTCTTCCACCCACTTCCGCTTGCATTGTTGGTGATCTAAACAATGAGCACCTTTTATCAGTTTTGGTTGGGCCCTGCCCTTGAAAATCTCCTTTGTGCTCTGTGAGCTTCAGCTTCTGTTGGATGGAACCGAAACTCTTCAACCGAGTATCCACCAACCTGCTATGTATCTGCAGCAAGTTACTCACTGTTTCTGGGCCACAACCTCCTGTGTAAAATGAAAGCATGTGGGTCTTGCTTGAACTTTCAAGGCACTGATGGTGGTGGGATTCCATATTCAAGATCCTTAACCTGTGACCCTTCCCCAAAGATGTCTCCTAACACTATTCTTGGTTTGGGTCAAGCCTGGAACAAAAAGCCCTGAGAAATGGTAGGAAAAGCTAAAATGGCCATTTCTCACTTGGATGGAAAAACCAAGGAAGACATAAGAGTTGTGTCTGCCTCAAAGAAAACACCAGGAGATTTGCTTTAAGTAAAACCCCTTTTAGGAAAGAACAGTAGGAGACCAGAACAGATAAAGGAGTTATTAGGAGGGATCTTCTCTGCCAGCGTAGGTAGTCAATGTCTCATTCTGGTGGTTCCAGAAGATGTCCAGGAGCTGATCAGTTTGAGGGGAGAAGAGGATGGCAGCCATGTTGGTGGGGCAGAGTAGTCTTGAGGGGTTACAGATACATAAATTCAACATAACATCCTAACAATCCCCTCCATAAATACTCCCTCTCATTCTCCGCTTTGTTTTTCTTACTGAAAAAACTAAGGTTATAAATGGCTTTGAAGGTACAATCCTAGTCTCTTCCTGAACCGTAAAAAGACCTAAATATTGGAGCTCCTGGGTGGCTCAGTGGGTTAAGCCTCTGCCTTTGGCTCAGGTCATGGTCTCAGGGTCCTGGGATCGACCCCCGCATGGGGCTCTCTGCTCAGCGGGGAGCCTGCTTCTCCCTCTCTCTCTGCCTGCCTCTCTACTTGTGATCTCTCTCTCTGTCAAATAAATAAATAAAATCTTAAAAAAAATAAAGGCCTAAATATTTTTAGATAATTTAACACCTCAGAATGAGAAACCAGAAACTGGGGTAGTCTTCACCCCTCCCCAGAGCAAAGCCCTCTGCCCCTTTAGCAATGTGTCTCAAACCTCGATGCATCAGGATTTTGTGAGTGCTTTGAAAAATACAGATTCCTAGGACCCACCATAAATGGATTCAGAATGCCCCGGAGTGGGCCCAGGAGATCTGCATTTTTGATAAGCTTGCACAGCTGAGTGTTTTAGCGATAGCCTCTGAGAACCTTGGCTCTATGACCCAATCAACACCATGCCGTTTCTAAATAACTGATCTCCTCTAATCTTGGTGGGGACCATTTGTATCAAAGAGGCCCCAGTAAGTATGTCCTTTTAGATGACAGGAAGCGTGTCATGTGCTAATTATGGCCAGTGACACCATAAAATAAAAGTGCATTACTGAATGCTTTCAGTTTCTTATAACGATGGTAAGGTGGCATGTCATGGGGCCTTTTTAGCCCTAGACATCACTCCAGAGAATTCCAAACCGATATAGACAAGGGTCATTAGGACCCGGATCCTTTCCTCTCAGACTGTTTACTGATAGGAATAGGATGTCCTAAAGCAACACTTCCCGCAAGTGAAGTGTTGATAAGTCTGGTTATCAGCAAGATATTACTGGCAGTGTGCTATGCAGGGCATTTACATTTTCTTGATAGGGTTAGTCATATGAAAGCTGGCAAAGAAGGAAAAGGAGCAGCCTGTGGTGCAGTATCAACAGACAGCTGTCCCCTGGCTTCTCGATAAATAGGATGACTTGCATTGCTGAGCGGTGTGGTCACCGCCCAAGGAATGGCCCTCTCACATTTCTTCCTGATTCACACATTCAGGGGGGTTACTTGGCAGCCCCTCCCTCCTCTGCTTCCCAGACACTGAGTCTGGAATGAAAATTCACCTGCCTCTGAGTTGGCCGCGGGTGGGGGCAGGGGTGTTACTTGGGTTCCCAGGTTGGGAGATGACCTCACCCGGCCCTTGCTATATAAGGCGACCGGTGTGGAGGGGCTCCGCAGGGCTGACTCGAGGCATTCGTTCCACAGCAGCAAACACGCAGACGAACCAACCTCAGGCTGACATGATGGTGATGAAAGTGGAAGAGTTGGTACGTAAGACACGTTGTTGTCTCACCGTGAAAACCAGTTTAGTCTTGGTTTTTATATGTCCGAAATGTCCTTCTTCTTCAGGCAAAATGCACAGGTACTCTGATGTTGTCCACAGAACAGGGTTGGCCTAAGTGATGAAATAAGTGAAATTGGGAAAACAAATCTGGCCGTCATGAATGTTCTCTGTATTTCCTATTTATTATCTTCTCCTTTGGTTTTCTTACTAAAGCGTGGATATGAGGATGCCTTAGGGAAGAAGTTCTATGGCTAGAATAGATGTCTGGAAACTTCCACAACTCAAGGCCAAGAGTCAATCAAAAGTACCTGAAATGGAAGAATTTTAAATAATCATGGAGGGGTTGTAGTTTTCTTAGGTGAAGTGTGATTAGGTGGATTAAAAGTGCATTTAAACGTATCAGCCTAAACTCAGCCTTGCTTTACCAAGAGAGGAGGACCATCGTCTGATGGCCTTCCTGGTCTCCTGCAGCAGCAGCATGTCCCAGCCTGAGATCTGAGAGCACAGCACACGGATGTGGCTGTCATCAGGCAGGGAGGACCAGGGACCCCCTGCAACATCGTCTCTGGAGAATGATCCCAGGGTAGGCCCTGCTACTTCTGACCTACAATTTTTGTTCCCCCCAGGTCACGGGGAAGAATGGCAGTGGGGAGACTGGGGAGTTCCTACCTGAGGATTTCAGAGATGGGCAGTATGAAGCTGCTGTTACTTTAGAGAAGCAAGAGGACCTGAAGACACTTCCAGCCCACTCCCTGAGCCTGGGGGAGCAACAGTGGAAAATTGAGAAAGAGCGAGAGGCAGAGGTAAGGACCTTTCTTGGAATCCACTAGTGTGGGAAGTCAGGGATGGGTAAGAGAAGGAGGTGCCAGGCAGGAAGGAGAAAAGAGAGGAGACAAAATAAATGCAACCACTCCAAAGGTGTTTCTTTGCCAAATTCAAACCCATAAAGAGACAACTTCTATAGGACAGGTTGTAGGAACTAATTCTGTAGCAAGACAATGACTTCTGGATTCTGAATCAATGATTGAAGGTTCTAGGACTACGTTCTGATTTAAAGACTTGGAGAGAGAAACATGACCAGTGAATTTCTGATGTCATACACTGTCTAGTTAATCCAAGGCAAGAGAGACTTTTTCTCAATCACATGGCTTTGGCTGTGTTCATTATCTGTGCTGACAAACTCTGTGGTTTGTCAGTGTGAATTTTCATTCCTTACTAATTGCAGATAAAACATGCCTTAGTTAGCAGTAGTCCCAGGAAAGCCTGCTTCATGAGCCCTGCTCTGCAGGCTGCCTGAAAGAGACTGGCATTGATATTTCAGAACTTAACCCTTATTGTTGGATTCTTTTGAGTTAAATAAAAAAATTCGGCAGAAATCCAGGGTTTGTTTATGGAAATGATGACTCGATGCTCAGTTACAGACTACATCCTAACTCCAATGAGTCAAAGGCTGATGCTACAGGCAAGGGAAGTGAAGATGAAAATGTAGACGCCCAAAATTCTTGAATAAGAAGTCACTAAGTCAAAGTCAACGATTAGTTTTAAAGGTTGTTGTTGTTTTTTGTTTTTTACTGTTTTGCTCCAGCTGTTTCCCCTTGCAGATTTTGTTTAGACACAACCAGAATGCTGGTCACCATGTTTTGAAATATGGATTTCTTTTTTAGCTCAAGAAGAAAAAACTAGAACAAAGATCGAAGCTTGAAAATTTAGAAGACCTTGAAGTCATCATTCAGCTGAAGAAAAGGAAAAAATACAAGAAGACTAAAGTCCCAGCTATAAAGGAACCTGAACCTGAAATCATTGTAAGGACGGTTTGCTTTGGTAGTATTACATGTCTGGCATTAGGCTGCCGGGGAATAAATATCTGTGGAGGGTTTGATCGGATGTCGGAAAGCTCACGGTAACTCCCGCGCTCTGCTCTTGGCTTTAGACGGAACCTGTGGATGTGCCGAGGTTCCTGAAGGCTGCTCTGGAGAATAAACTGCCAGTAGTAGAAAAATTCTTGTCGGACAAGAACAATCCAGATGTCTGTGATGAGGTAACTTCTACAAAGCACTGCAAAATCCAGCTCATTCATTTTGTGCTGTTTCTGCATAACTTCTGCCTTGCTAACATGGTGCCAACAAGCACTCCACCTGGAACAGTCTCTCCAGCTGTTGTCCCAGATGCTGCTAGCATATTAGGGTAGTGCAGCGGTCCAGAACAAAGAGGCTGGATTCATGCTGAGAATTGCAGCATTTTTTGCACTCCCATATTCTTCCAGCTGACTTTTTAGTTTGTCTTTAGCTTTTTATGTTCTTGGGGTAGACTTTTAATAAGGCAGGACCAACAAGTCCCTTTTAGACAGACACACAATAGCATCATCCTTTAAAGAAAAAAAAAAAGATTTTATTTATTAGAGACAGAGAGAGTGAGGGTAAGCACAAGCAGGGGGAGGGAGCATGATGCAGGGTTCGATCCCAGGACCCCGGGATCATGACCTGAGCTGAAAGGAGATGCTTAACCAACTGAGCCACCCAGGCACCCCAATAGCATCATCCTTGATTGGACCTAAACACATCACCACTACTCAGGGACTCTGTGACTCAAGTTCAAGTGCTGGCTCTATCACTATGTGACTATTTGATTTTAGCAGCTACTTTGCATTTCCTAGACTTCTGTTTCCTTGTCTATAAATAGAGGGCACTGGAGTGAACAATGGCAACAGTTGTTCTAGGCCAAATAGTCAATCCATTAATATGAAGTCTTTTTACCAGAAGCACTAATCCTTTTTGTATCCTTTCTCCCCGGAACTGAATGGGGAATCATTTCTGAAGTTGAACTAAAAATGAGTCCCCCATTCTCTTAAAGAATTGAATACTTTTTGATATTCAACCCAGCAACGGGCCCAGATGGGAGAAAACCTTCTGGTCTGCATGGAAATTCTACACAAACAATGAAGGCACAAAAGTCAAGAAAGGGAAATGTCAGTGTTGAGGTAGTTGTGAGCTTGAAGTTCACATCCCTCCACATAGACCACTGAGCACTTAGAAATGTATCTGCAGGAAACTCAAGCCTCAGTTGCAGGATCACTGTTCTAGTTCTGAAATTTTAGTGCATTTGACAATTCTAATTCAAAAAGAAGTACTCGAGTTTCTATCAGTGAGGTTGTAGGAGTCCTCAGCTTCCTACCTCTTAGAAAGGATTTCTGATCATTTTTATATGCATCGCTATCTCTCTTTTTAAATCTCTCTTCTGACAGTATAAACGGACGGCTCTTCACAGAGCATGCTTAGAAGGACATTTGGCAATTGTGGAGAAGTTAATGGAAGCTGGAGCTCAGATCGAATTCCGTGATATGGTAAATATATTTCTTTGTTTGGAAATGAGCCAAAATAAGGAATCCATATGACGCTTGAGAAAACCTATGATGAAAAATGGGGCTGATTGGATTGAAAATTGATCTGAGAAAACCAGGCAAAAGCTCATTTCTCCATACAAAAGGAAGTTGGGAGATGGGGCTAGGTCATGTGGAAAGTATTTTCCATACATACTGAAGAGGAGACGAATGTTCGAGGGAAAAGAAGGAAGTGAAAGCCACTGCATGCAATTCAATATCCCCATCAGAGAGTTGGGTTAGTATCAAGTCAGTAGCATTACTGAGAAGTAATACAGTCAGCACTTGCCTCTTGGTGTCCCTGTCCTTCCATTATACACGGCAGTCTGCTCGTGGCCCCTTGGCAGCCAGCGATGTGTCAGAATTCTCTAGCTGTACACCTTGTATGATAGATGCCATCAGTGAGATCAGGGGCTAAACTGCATATGGAATGAACTGCATCCATGGAAAGTAGCTGCTATTCAGACTTCAATAATTCAACTACTGTGAGTTCTACAAAGACCAGCATACAGCATATTTTATGGACTGAAGATTGAGCTGGGAAAATGCTTTATTTATTTAAATGCAGCTCAATTTGACTTTATAGCAAAGTGGAAGAGGGATATTAAAAAAGTCCAAAGAATTTGAACAAAATTGAACCCTGAAGACAAACACATAGGAAAGAAATAAAAAAAAAAAGTTTGCATGAAAAGACACTAACATTCATGAATGCATGATTTGGAAGGCCAGGAACATGTCAGAGAGGGGAAGAGGGCATCTCCCAAGAGTCAGGGCAGTGTGTGATGACCTCGAGTGGGGACACTTGAGGGACACTGTGTTGGCATAAACAACAGCACAGAACCAACAAGAGATGGGGAAAAAAGCACAGGGACACAGAAAGAGGTGGCAGATCCAGATTAAAATCTCTTGGAAGGGACTACTTTTATTCTGCCAGAATTTTAAAATGCATTTCTCTAGAACTTCTGAGTATATTTGGCAAAAGTGGCTAAAAGTTCCAGGCAGATGTGGGTTTGGATATCTATTCTGATACTTACTAGCTGTTCTTCCTTGGGCAAGAAACTTGACTTTTGGAGACTTGTTTTTCTCATCTGCCAAAGGAGCGCAGTCACACTTACCTCATAACGTTGCTGGGAAGACCAGTCCATCTAAAGTGCACAGCACCTTGTCGGCATGCTGAAATTCTCAATAAACTGTAGTTCTCAGTCATTGTAGTTGTAGTCCGGAGGGGGACACCCCACTGCTACCATGGATGATCTAGCCAGTCTGGTGTTCCCGGGTCTCAGAAACCAAGTATTAACTCCTCGGACCAGTTCTTTACATTAACTCATGTCCTTTTACCTTCTGGTATAGCTTGAATCTACAGCTCTCCACTGGGCAAGCCGTGGAGGAAACCTCGATGTCTTAAAATTGCTACTGAATAAAGGAGCAAAAATCAGTGCTCGGGATAAGGTATTTATTTCCCCCCTCCCCGACTCCTGGACCCCTCTCCCCTCCCTCCTCCTCTCCCAAAGCCACCTCACCATTTGGGTCAGCGGGAAACTTATGCTGTGTGGGGCACCATAGTGGCCACTTGTCCCCCTTGCACATGCCTTGGGGTCTGGGAGAGCCTCTGTCCCTGAGCCCCGCAAATCAGTCGCATTCTTCAATTTCCCAGTTGCTCAGCACAGCGCTGCATGTAGCTGTGAGGACTGGCCACTACGAGTGCGCGGAGCATCTCATTGCCTGTGAGGCGGACCTCAACGCCAAAGACCGAGTGAGTCCCTGGGCCAAGTTCCACCTCCAGCAGCTCCAGCCTCACTTATCTGGAATCACTCCCCAAGCCTGGGCTCTTGTGGGACCCACTTCCTAGCCTCGGGCCCCACTTTAGCCTGTGGTCTCTGCTTCTCTAGGAAGGAGATACCCCTCTGCATGACGCCGTGAGGCTGAACCGTTACAAAATGATCCGACTCCTGATTATGTATGGGGCCGACCTCAACATCAAGAATTGTGTAAGTACCCGAAACAAGCAGCCCCGCTTGTGGGCTTTCTGATGCATGAAAGCATATCTGCTCTTCTTGAAAACGGTCCCATAGTGGTAGGGTTTCAGGGTTGGGGGTGGTCTTGTGATGCTTTAAATGCCCCTGTCTATTCCCCTAATGACATTGCTAGTCCTTGGCAATGACTCGGGTCACCTGTTCAGAGATTGGTGGAGCCATTATGACACAATCACAGTGTCCAGTGATTCTTTTAAGATTTCCTCTTGAAAATATGAGACGGTCAAATTGCTCACCTTCACAAACCTAAGCACTGTCTTCCCTGGACACCCGTGGCTGAGCAAGGCCTGGGATTGTCAGGAATAAAGACAGGCACCATTCCTGAAAGGATTAAATTCCACAGCAGTCAATAGGGCCAAGAGCCAATGAACTGAAATTAATCAATATTGAATCCGAGTAATTCTGAGTAGTCCTCCCCTCCTTACAACAGCAGGACATGCTACCACTTTCTTCCAGGGTTAGCCATGCTTTTGCCTATATTTTTTGAGATAATTTCTATCCATTCTCCACTGTGGTTTATCTGCATATCCCTCAAAATAATTTCCTATATTTAGGCCCTGAAAATGCTCATATAAGTCCCTTCTACAAGTACGTGTTAATTTAGCTTCATCTGCAAGCCAGGGAAGAGAGCCAACTTTTCCTCATGGTCCCAATTCCCAGACAAACATCATCTAATATAAGCTTTAAAAATATCACTGGGAGGAATGGATATAAATTACCAAAGAAATAATTTGAAAGATTTGGTAGAGAACCACTTTACAAAGAAGGAAAACCCCAGTCATCTTCTATTGTGAATAATTTCTTCCCCTTATTGTGTTACTATGAGACTGAGAGGAATATTTTATCATAAAAAACACCCCCTCAAAACTGTCTTGGTCTTAGGAACAAAGGATAAAAGCAATAAACAGAGGCTGCTTGGATGGGAAAGTGTTAATAATAGGATCCCCTCATCCTTCATATTGGGATTGGTCTTATCTAATCATTTAAATAAATTAGCGGGAAAAAAGTAGATTTAATGAAATCTCCCAAACTGCGAAACTATGACAATTATTTTTAGGCAGTAAGACATTACCAGCCCAGAGAACTAGCCTACAGATTTGGGGAGACTGTGTAAGTAGCCAGAAAATCAGGAGATAAATTCTAATAGAGATGAGGTAAAGGAATTCGTGGAAGAATAGCCCAAAATATACCAATGGGGCTCAAGGCTTTGAATTATCAGTTAGAGCCCAACATAAGGGCCCTAGAACTATTAATGTCATTGATCCAATGGCTGGATATTCAAAGACCACTAAGCCACACCATCTTGAGGGGGACTGGAAACATTATTCTGTTGTCCAAAGCTCTGTCACCATGTGTACCGATGAGTGTTTCTCAAGGAACATGCTACAGAGGTAGGGAGTTCCAAAATGAGGGTTACAGGGCCACTAGTTCAAATAAGCACAGGGGCCAGGCAGATCACCTAAATTACATAAATGTTGGCTGCAGGGGTCTGTGCACATAACTTTTAAAGACGGTGGCTCCTCCCCACCCCAGCCCATTGTTGCTCTGTGAAGCCCTAGGTATCATGCTGGCCAACTCTTCTGATTTTCTCAGAGAGTTCACGGATTCAATTGGGAAATCTGCTAATTTCCGACTGTTGCCAATTAATTCCAACTTTTAAGAAATCTGAGTTCTGTCTGGGCCCAAACAAAAGAGGTCTCTAGACTGATTTGCATCTTAAAGCTGCCAGTTCACAGTCTCTGAGTTAAAGAGACTTCCAAAAGAACAGGGGTGGGAAATTTGAAGACTTCTCATATTTAAAGACAAGAATTGAGAGGTGACATGGTATTCATTTTGTAAATGTCTGGAGACCTACGCATAAGTGGAAAAGCATTTTGGTCTCAAAAATTATTAACACGTTGTTGATGTCCCCCCAAGAAAAATGAAATTTCCCAGGAGATCCTAGTGTGAAAACTAGCCCTCTCGGAGCAGTAATAGTTCTACCCAGCACCTGAGGACTTCGCCAAGGTGTCCAAACAGCTCGTTTACCATCATGTTTTATCAGGAATTGTTTTCCCAATCGATAGGAACTGGTTCTTGACCACTTTCTCCCCAGGCCTCTTCTACAGGATACTGGATATATAGAGAGGCATTTTTTAAATTTCAGAGTGACTTGGAATGCTCTTCCCATTTACTGTCTAGGAACTGGGGATTGATTTTTTTTTTTTTTTAACCAATACCTGGGGCAGTCCCACAGGGCGGCGGGGGGGAACCCAACAACAAAACCCCAAAACATTGCTCATCTGAAATGCCATAAAGCATTCCTGTGAGAAACACTGAAGGGCTGATTTGAATATAAACTGCAAATCACTCATAGTGGAAAGCATAAAACAGGTCAACAACACAGACCCATCCATTACCTCATTAAACACACACACACACGATGTGTAGAATTTATAGATGCCTTCCATCTGAAAGTCACATTTCCTTCTGCATTTTGACTAGGCTGGGAAGACCCCAATGGATCTGGTCCTGCACTGGCAGAATGGAACCAAAGCGATATTTGACAGCCTGAAGGAGAACTCCTACAAAACCTCTCGCATAGCCTCCTTCTGAGGGAAATGGCGCCGCTCGCATCCCGTTGTTCTTCACCGGCATTTTGAAGGCAAGGCCCCAAGGGAGAGCAACTAGTCCTAACACCCAGCTCCTATCCACCTGTTGTACAGCTGCACCCAGTGAAGTCTGGAGAAAGCACAGGCATATAGTTAGGGGAATTTCCCTTAGTGAATCTCACCCTATTTATTTTAATTTATTTCTGTTTATTTATTTATTTATTTACTATGATGCCACTGGAAATTCTGATCCTTCACGATGACCCACTTGGTGAGCAAAGCTTCATTTGTATCTAACACTTCGGAGCCTCCCCGTAGATTTGCTCTTGAACCATGTTAACGAGCAATGCTGTTCGTGCCTACTCATGTGCATCTAGTTGGTGGAAGATATTTCAAGGTGTTGTTTTTTTTAAAGGACAAGGGTGATTATTACAGCCTTCTTTTCTCCTGAATTTTTAATGCTGAAGTTTGGGGCAGTGGGAGGCGTGTAGAAACAGGAGGAGAAACTGTCGAATGAGAGGGATTCTGTGAGAAGGACGGTAAAGCCAAGCCGTCAGCCGCCCGGGCCTGGTATTCCTTACCAAGTCACACGTTGTACCAAGGTGAAGAGAATGTCGTGAGTGTAAGTGGCATGTTCGTGGCAGGTGCAGGCCACTGGGCCATGATGAAGTGAATTTGCTGAAAAAAGATGAAAGTGACCACAAAGTGTAAATGTGTAAATGTATATTATGTTGTATGTCTATTTTATATTCATAATAAAAGCAAATTCTAAACCTCTTTCTAAATGCTTCTGGAAGTATGGTGGGAAAGAACCATGTGAAAAAAGATGGAGTTTTTTGTTTTCCAAGTTTTGGGGATTGGAAATGTCCTGTAAAATAGTACCTCTCACAGTATTGACCATGTATGCAGACCACCTGAAGATCTTGCTAAAATGCAGTTTCTGATCCCTCCCATTCGTTGCAGGGGTTGGGTGGGGGGAGGCAGACTCTGCATTTCTGAGAAGCTCCCTGATGATGCAGAGGTGGTGGTACACCAGAAGCACACTTTGAGCAGCAAGGCTGGGAAAACCATCACCAAGATAGAGGAGTTCAAGTTCTTTTGGCCCCAGTGATGGGGAGAAAGAGACCCCTGGTGGGCAAAATGATTACTGCACGTTAAACAAATGATCTTCGACATTCCCATCAGTGCTAATCGGAGACTTAACGATTATTGTGGACACCAGCTGTGTGTCAGAGGCTGCCCACGAGAAAATACACCTGGTTAATGATTTCTGACCTTCAAGGGGAGCCATTTTGTTGCCAGGTGCTAGGCCAGGTGCTAAGACCTGTGATGAGAAAACCAGATTGTCCCTGCCCTGCTTTCCGGGAACAGATGAATATTAAAGAAATAACGTCCGAAATAAATACATAGTAATGATCTGTGGTAAGTCCAATGAAGGGAAAAAAAACAAGAGTGCTATGAGTCTCAGACGCAAAAGCACACTCATTTGAAGGGGAGGGGCAAGGTGGGGAATTCTACAAAGACTTCACTGAGGTGCTGACTTTTTGGGGCAGTCTGAAGGATGAGCTGGAGCTATTCCAGACAGCAGAGAGGCCACCGGAAAGGACATGATCATGGGGAAAGTCTGGCACTTTAGGAAATGTATGAAGGCCAATATAAAACAGTAGCACTGGGGTCCCTCCCTCCAAAACTCTCTCCGGGTGGAAGAACACACACAGCCTCTTGGCTATGCCTCTAACACTGAGAGCATGCGCAGGTATGGTCCCTAAGCAGAAGGTATTCTAGTCAGCTGCTTCAGGACACCTAATTTGTGAGGATGGTTTGAGATATCTTTGAGCCTTTTGTATCTAGTCTCCTAACCTCCCAAGGGCATCAGAAACTTGAGTCCCTCCATTGTCTCCCTCCTGCCAGGGTCCTGGCTCTAACCAGTCATGTCCTTAAGGCTCGGGTCCTCCCACTTCTTCCTCTTAAAGCACCCACGACACAAGTCACATTTTTCTTGCTGGTATTGGCGTCTCCCACAGCACGTTATTAAGTGACCAAGTGACCAAGTTCTCTCTTTATGATGGCTTCCTCAAACTCCCCTCCCCGCAACAGCTGTGAGGGTGCAGAAGACACTTTTGAGTCACCACATGAGATTTCCACCAGCACAAAGGTAGAGGGCGAAGGTACCCCATGAAAGGTACCCCATGAAAGACAACATGGGCTAAGTTCCATTTGAACAAGGCCAACTATGTCACCTCTGCTAATGGAGAAGATAAACACTTCAGGCAAAGCTTTCACCTGTCTCACAGGTGGTCAACTTTAAAGCTCTTTGTCTTGCCACCTGAGCCAACTCTTTGCCCACAATCTGTCTCTCATCTTGGCTCTTCCTCAGTAAAGAGAACGTCCCATTGACCAACAGATGCCTGGTAGTTTTTCTCGCTTCTCTTTTCCTCACTCCTTTATCCCAATCAACCTCCAAGTCTTCTTACCAAGTATCCTCCCTAAGGGGCTCTGCAGTCTGTCCACTTCTCCCATCCCAGGGGCTACTGCCCTAGCTCAGGTGGCCACAGTGTCCTCCCGTTACTCAAATGGCCCTTGCTGGGCTCCTGGCCTCAGGCTCTTTTCCCACCAGTCTGTTAAGGTGCAGTCAGTAATTTATTTTTATTTTTTTAATTAACATATAATGTGTTATTACAGAGTGATTTTTCTAAACTGCACATCTGGCCAAGCCATTCACCTCTTTAAAATTCTTCAGTGGCGGGGTGCCTGGGTGGCTCAGTGGGTTAAAGCCTCTGGCTTCGGCTCAGGTCATGATCCCGGAGTCCTGGGATTAAGCCCTGCATCGGGCTCTCCGCTCAGCCTGCCTCTCTCTGCCTGCCTCTCTGCCTACTTGTGATCTCTGTCAAATAAATAAATAAAATCTTTAAAAAGAATAAATAAAAATAAAAAAATAAGAAAAATTCTTCAGTGCCTTCCCGTTGCCCTCAGGATGAAATGAAAACTCCTTAACATTTTTCAAAAATTCTTGAAATCTGACAGCCTTTAACTCTCTATTCTCATCTATTTCTCATCACTCTCTTCACTAAACTCTGAATTTCGACTCTGTGGACTTCTCAGTTCCTTAAAAAATCCAGGTATTCTTATGTTTCAGTTTATAATGGACCATTTAGTCCTATTATTGGTCGTCTGGGTTGTTTCCTTTTTCCCGTTATTCTAGACATTGTTGCAATGAATATTCTTATCTCAATACCCTTCATACCTAACCAGCTATTTCTGAAGAAACACATTCACAGAAGACTCTGTAAGATTATCAAATTAATCCCCTTCCATTGTTATTCATTTTTTTCCCCAAATTATGAGAATTCTCATCTTATGAATCTTTTCTCTTCCAACCTGATCAGCAAAAGATATATTTGTGGTGAATCTTCCTAATTACTGAAAAAGTTCACCATCTTTGTTTTTGGAACATTTTTTGGATCCATCTTTATTGCCCAGTTTCTATTATGTCAGGTTCCTTGGAAGCAGAACCTGAAATGAGGATTCTTGTGTTAGTGATTTATTGAGCGCGCTCTATAAGGCGATGAGGAAAACAGAACAGGGCAGAAGAAACAGGCAAAGATGTGCTTTCAGGAAGAGTCTCTCCTCAGCCTTATCCCAGCTCAGGAGCATCAATCACGCTGCGGAGGCCAGAAGGCCAGGTGATAATGTCCTGCATCAGGCACAAGCCACGGGCCGAAATGGGTTGGGGGTGGGGGGTGGGGAGGTAAAGCTTCCCAGGCCTCTTTGGGTAAGGTTGAGTTCCATCAGCCCAGGGCAGTGCTCTGGGGAGAGTGAAGAGAAACCATGAGTGCTCACATTTGAATCAGCTGGAGAAAGGGTACACCAGCCTGGTGAAAGGGATTTGGTGGACACTAACAGCATTTACCAAATTGCATATGTTTTTATTTGTTTTTTAGATCAGTGGGCGGGGGTGGGCAAAGTGAGGAAAGAATCTCAAGCAGGCTCCACGTCCAGTGTGGAGCCTGACACGGGGCTCAAGCTCACCACCTTGAGATCATGACCTGAGCCCAAATCAAGAGTGGAACACCCAACTGACTGAGCCATCTAGACACCCCTCAAATTGCGTATGTTTTTAAAAACAATTTTCTAAAGTTCTACTAAGGATGCTAAACTCCTCTGCTCTATAAGATGCCTCATAAATCTACTCTCTTAGTTGTACTTTTCTAACAGAACATTATTTTTATAGAGGCAAATTAATTTTCATGTTTTCTGGCTTTAACGACCACATTTATGTTTTTTCCAACCCAAGGTTATTTTAGACAAAAAATGTACCTACCTTTTCTTTAATATTTTATAAACTTTAAAAAAATTTAATTCTTTAATCCATTTGAATTTAGTGTACATTGGGTAGAAGATAAGGATTAGACTCATTTTTATTCCTAAATGATAGAACAATAGCTAATACTTAGTAGGTACGTTCTGTAGGACTAGTCCTTCTTTGAGCCTCCTACAAATATGAATCTGCTTAACCCTTGCAGTAGTGCCATCGGTAGGGAGAAAAGAAGAAAGTGAGTCACAGAGTGATTATGAAATTTGTTCAAGGTCACAGGTACGGAGTACTGGCAGGTTCAGATTTTAATATGCAGAGTCTTTAGTCTTTGCACTTACTTTGTTTGCTGTACTGCCTTTCCTGCATAGCTAACCAGTTATTCCAACACCACTGAATTGAGAAATCCACAACTTCTTGTAAATGGGAGTTGTTCTGGACCCCCAAGTCTTTCACTCATCTATATGAATTTCTGCACCAGTTACACAGTTTTAGTTACCAGAGTCCTGTTGTACTCTGTAATACTGGATGTACAAGCCCCTTCCACTGGTGTTTTTTTCTGGAAGACTGTATTTATTTATTTGAGAGAGCAGAGAGAGAGACAGAGAGCAAGAATAGCAAGGAGGGGCAGAGGGAGAGGGAGAGGGAGAAGCAGACTCCCCATTGCACAAGGAGTCCAGATGGGGGCTCAATCCCAGGACCCGGGGATCACAATCTGAGCCAAAGGCAGATGCTTAACTCACTGAGCCACTCAGGTTCACCCCCCCATTATTTTTCTATGAATTTTTGTAGGTATTTTATTTATTCTTTCAAATCCATATATACAAGGAGACCAACATATGTGGATGGTTTTAAATTTTGTTAAATTTATAATTTGGGGGAAAATCTGATGAACAATGTTTCATCAAAAAACAAAAACAAAAACAAAAAACAAAACCCAGAGTGTCTTCCAGTCTTTAATTTCCCTTTAAAGAGTTTTCTTCATAGAGGACCTATGTGTTTCTTAATTTATATCTTTGGAATAGTACCATCTTTTAAAATGACATTTTTTTTTTTTAAAGATTTTATTTATTTATTTGAGAGAGAGGCAGTGAGAGAGAGCATGAGCGAGGAGGTCAGAGGGAGAAGCGGACTCCCCATGGAGCTGGGAGCCCGATGCGGGACTCGATCCCGGGACTCCGGGATCATGACCTGAGCCGAAAGCAGTCGTCCAACCAACTGAGCCACCCAGGCGTCCCTTAAAATGACATTTTATAGCAACTTACTATTAACCAAACAATTACCTTTTGTGTCTTTAGCTTGTAACTGACCACAGTGCAGAACTTTTCTTTAAGGTACTGACATTTTGTTGCAGGAAGTCAGTAATGCATCATGTTCTAACAAAGATAAATATTAGAAGGAAACCTGCCTGCCACTCTCCACTGAGGACCAGCCATCATGCCCACCTATTCTGAATAGGATAAGTGTCTGTTCATAAACTGAAAGAAAGGCACATCTGCAAATATGTAGCAAAGATACATAAACGAAGGAGCACCTGTATTTCTAAGCTTTTCCCAGTTGCTTCCCTTTTGAAGAGGCCAGACTCATCTGCAATAATTTTACTTCCTAATGTAACAGAGGCCCTCGCTATTATATCTGATGCAAGTGAGGCAAATCTACACATAATATAACCAGTTGATTGAAACAGTAGACCAAGGTGGGACCCCAAAAAAAGATGACCATATTCCCCCTTAAATATTTTGAGTTTAAAATCTATAAATGCACACTCCTGTGCCGATCTTGGGATTATGGACCCTCCGATGGGACACCTACAGTTGTCTTTGATTGAGTTCCTGTCTCTTTAAGGAAGAAAGACAACTTAAGACTTGAGTGAAGCAATCCAAGTGTGGAATTTTTACTGGATCCCCCCAAAATCTTGGTTGTCCTGTTCACACCTATTGTGACAGGTTTTTTTTTTTTTTTTTAAATGGCTCATCTTTTCAAGCCTTTCAAAAGCATAAACTTGGATTTCCTGGGAATTCCTTTTTTGTGCTTCATAGTGCAACAGTTTTCATAATATTTAGTTAATATATATGTAACTTTACAATGCTAACCACAATGGCATCAACAGACTGGTGAATAAACATACATTAACCATTGGTGAATCCAAGTGGGGTGAGGGCAGAAGCAAGAGGGCACTTGAGGAGTGGTGGACTCCTGCGTGGGCTTGGCAGCGACGGTGGCATCAGCATCATTTTACGGAGGGAATGGAGTTGGCTAATCCATCAAATTGCTCAAGTAGAAGTCAGACAAGAATGTTTTTAGAGCCACCATGTTCAATACATACAGTATGTAAACATATGTGTGTGTGTATGTGATATATTCTATTTGTAAACGTTTGCCATGGGTTTTTATAATTTTTAAGACCAGGAGTGGATTTTAAGTTTTATCAAATGTCTTATCCATTAAAATGATTCTGATTTTTCTAATTTGATTGATAAATAAATATGATAAAGTACAGTACATTAAAAAGAACTGAAACATCCTTACATTCCTAGAATAAATCTCACTTGTCAGGCATACTGTTTTAATGGTCTCACTTTACCAATATTTTACCTAAGCAACTGTATCCCTAAGTGAGACTAATACACAGCTCTTTTAAAAAATTATCTTTTCTCTCTCAGAATGGTGCCTTTTTCTCACTGAAACGATTCTTTATATCAACATAACGTGAATACAGATATTTGCAAAAAAGGCCATTTCCATTTATTTTAATGATTCTGCTACTTTAAAAAAAATCATTTCCAAAGTTGGTTGAGTACAATGGTTTGATATTTTTAATACTGCTATTACAAAAATCAGTATTAGGTTTTCAGGGACTTCCAACTCAAAGGAGGGAATTCTATTTCAAGAATATCATGAAGGTAAGCAGCAAAGGAAGAGCCACATGTAATTTTACATGCACTTGCTCTCTCCTTCCACAAAATTTATAGCAATTCCTTTCAGAAAGAACTTTGACTTGATGAATACAAAGAGAGAGGTTTACAACAAAAATAAATCACCTAAAGGCCAATCCCTTGGTATGCCTTAATAGGCCTCAAAATAACCCCTTTTTGAAGAGTAAGATTAAAAAATAATAAGTCATGTATATCCAGTAAAGCAGCAAAGCATGTATTTTTAAATGAAGAAGAAACATTTTAAAGAGTCTCCTGAAATACGGAAACATCTTATTCAATTATACCTGCTGTTTTATTCTTAACACAAAAAATAAATAAACTCGTCTCTGATTTTTCTCTTAAGGTGTATCTAAATTCATTAAGTGGGCAGTCTTTTTTTTTTTTTTACTGTTTCACTAGGTTTTGTTACTTTAACGGCTTGAATACAGAATTGTTTTTATAGATTACTGATTTCTAGTTCCAAATGAAAACAGTAAATCATAAAGGTTCTATTGCGGCTGATGGACTATCAAAGGGAAGAAGGGAGTGTTGACAGAGACTGGGGATTCTTTTCAGCTCTCACACTTGGCTTTCTTGCAAGCTGGAAGAGAATCATCATCTGCTTCTGATGGTCGAGGTTTCTTCACTGTGGAAATAATTCCAAAAGCAGTTTTTCTAGTTTCTATAAAACAAACAGGGAAACCATAGGCCTTAAGTTAAGACCTGATTTAAAAAGATGTGGTTTAACAAGTATCACCATGTTACTTTGACTTAACAACATTAGTAAATAATAAAGCCAGAATAACTGCTATTGATACTGATGTCATTCACTGTTAGTACTTTGTCTTCCCCAATGGATACAAATACCAGTATATTATTTACATCTAATTCATTCTAAAGGGATTACTCAAGAGTAAAACTGCAGGACAGGTTCTCTCCAAAGGTCTGTCCATGGTACCTTAGGCAGCCAGGGACCAAGTCCCAGACTTTGGTGCAGCAGATGTTTTAAGTACGGTAGAAAGGCACACGAATCAAGACAGCCTGGTCAACAGTCAACTGTGTTCCTCCCATGGTGATGACATGTGCTTACTTCATTTTACAGCATGTACCGTATCTGGGTCCCTCACTAGGTCATCTATGTACCTCTGACGAATAAGTCGTATTGTATTAACACCCAGCAATGCCTGGTTATCTAACAGGTGTTCAATAAATACCTGTTGAGTGAATGAAAAAAATCAAACTCACACATTTATTGACCTCTCATATACTGAGGACAATGGATAAAGAATGGGAATTGTGAGATGTCAGGTCAGGCTGGCAGCAGAGTTCAACTTAAATCTATCCAATTTTAGCTAAAAATGTACTACTGGGCCAGGCCCTGTGTCATCTATAAAGGGTACTGAGATGCCTACCACAGAGATAAAAGAATGTGAGGGGCAAATGTAATGGGAATGGAGGCACCCATAAGAAGAAACTCTGCCTGGATGAATCAGGAAGGTATCATAACAGAAGTAACACTAGGAATACAGAAAAAGAAAAAGATGGGATTCCTTTGCAAAGACATGCAGGAAAAGGTAAGAAGAACCTAGTATGTTTAGGGGACAATAAGCTGGTGTGAAGGAGGAATGTGAAAAATTTATGGGGAAATGGGGCTTGATGGGTAAACTTAAGGCCATAACGCCTTGAAAAGATCCAAATTTAGTCCTTATGAAATAAGGACTAGGGAGGAGAGAGAAGGAGAGATCCACTGGCTACAAAGAAGACAGAATCAAAAGAACTTTGATGAACATAAATTCAGTTAAGATTTCTTGTTTCAAGTAATAAAAGTAAAGTCAATTCTAGAGTTACATAGGCATGACCTTCTCACTTATCAGGATTAATTTACCAAGTTTACTGAATCTTTGCCAATTATTTAAAGCATTCTAATTTGTAAAAGGACAAACTTCTCTCAAGATCATTAAAATGCCAACTTCCTCTGTCCCTTCTCTACAACCTCCTTAGAATTGCTATTCACTGGTTTCTGGAACCCTGAATGGCCCACCTAATCCTGATTCCCTATAGAGAGCCTTCCAGTGTTGAATGGCAGCTATTACATGTCCTAAGTCTTCCGTTTCCAGATATCCATTTCAGCACTGCTTTCTACCATTTCATGTTAAGGTTTCCAGACCCTCTAAGAACCTAGCAACCGTCTTCTGGTAGTGCTCCCGTGCACTGCTGTCCTTCTGTAAAGGGGCACTCGGGATAATACACATGCCAGCTGAGACTTCATCAACGCAGAGGGTAATAATAGTGAGACTCTGAATCCCCTTGCTTCAGATTCCTTTATTTCTTCTAGTGTAACCTGAGGCTGAATTCACAATCTTAGGAACCCACCACAGTGCAGTCTAATATTGATCCCAATGTCAACTAAAAGCAGGGTAACTGTAATGTATCCTCCAGATGTGCTATTAATTCTGCAGGGACAGCAGCCATAAACCAGGACTCTCACACAGTGGGAGGGTAATGCTACCTAAGTCCATAAGGCTTCCTTTAGTTTAGCTTCATAAAAGCCTAGCTTTACACATATCCTCTGCTGAACAGCTGAGTTTTTTTAAGTCAAGTGCAGAACTTCATATTTTTCCCATTAATTTTCTTATTTAGCTTCCTTTTCATATTTTAGAACACCAATTGTTCTATTTTGGAACACCAATGGTTATCCAAAATCTTGATGACTCCTTATGTTCATTTAAAACAGACAAAAATAATGGCAGAACAACCAAAGCACAAACCCATATTTCTTAATTTCAAGACAATCTTGATAAAGTCCTAATGAATCTGGCCATTCCCAGAGCTTATGTGATAGGGTCTAGCCTACATAATACAATTATCTCAAACTAAAAATGTTGAAAACAGAAGCAAAATCATCTAATTTACAGTAAGTCAATACAGGAATCAGTTCTCCCAAGTGGGGATCAGATCATTAAAATCTAGACACAACACACAAGGCCTCAATAATTCACCTATTCATATGCCAAATAACCTAGTCTACATGTAGCCCTATTCTGAAGTTTAAATTTATCTAGGTGATATCAAGCGAACTGCTTCGTGACCACTACTACTAGCGCTAAAAATCACAGGGAGAACAAAGATAAAACAGATCGAAAGTATAAATACTTTTCTTTTTTTTTTTAAAAGGGAAGGAAGAGAAACAGTATGTTTTGAAAAGTTTATTTACTTGAGAGCACACGTGTGTGCAGGAGGGGCAGAGGGAGAGGGACAAACTGACTCTGTGCTGAGCACAACGCCTAACGTGGGGCTCGATCCCACAAACCTGGGATCAAGACCTGAGCCAAAATCAAGAGTTGGGACATTTAACTGACTGAGCCACCCAGGCGCCTCTAAATTTTTTTCTTTTTAAAAAACCTCATCTTCGGGGCACCTGGGTGGCTCAGAGGGTTAAGCCTCTGCCTTCGGCTCAGGTCATGATCTCAGGGTCCTGGGATCCAGCCCTGCATCGGGCTCTCTGCTCAGCGGGGAGCCTGCTTCCCCCCTCTCTCTGCCTGCCTCTCTGCCTATCTGTGATCTCTGTTTGTCAAATAAAAAAAAAAAATCTTTATAAAGAAACAAAAAAAAACAAAAAACACCCTCATCTTCATTCTCTAAAGTCCTGGCATAGCAAATACTTCTGGTTTAATTTTTATCATCTGATGAATATGAAGTTCAGTGGCTGCAAATAGTGGAATTAAGGTGAGGAGGTAGGTTTATGTAAATGAAATGTGAGTAAAAGATATACAGTCTGCACACAGTTAAGCATGAAAAAAAATGAGAAAAAGGATCATGAGTTGTATTAAATATGAAAAGACACTATTTGAGTTTTTTAGTTGGGTTTTTAAAATGTATTTGCTGTTTCTGTGCTCCTAATAAATGGTTTAACATCAATTTTTTCACATTTCAGTTCTTGCAAACAATGACTTCAAAAGGGGAAGCATGCCTCTCTGGAGAGGAGGGAGGAGGAAGGTAGACAGGCCCAAACATGTGGAGCTTGGAAGACACATTCAGTACTCAGTTTTGTAACACAGACCACATTCGGTCCACAGAGTACACAAAGTCAAGTCTGAAGCAAAGGGTGAGAAGCATTGGTGGGTAAAGTTAAAACAGGCTGAGCAAAGATGAGCCTAAAGGAGGTTTGCAGAGCAGGATAGTAAAAGTAAATAGGCTCCATCGTCTGATTAAAAAAGACTGGCTTGGGGTGCCTGGGTGGCTAAGTGGGTTAGGCCTCTGAGGTCATGATCTCAGGGTCCTGGGATCGAGCCCCGCATCAGGCTCTCTGCTTAGCAGGGAGCCTGCTACCCACCCCCTCTCCCCGCCCCAGCGTGCCTCTCTGCCTACTTGTTATCTCTGTCAAATAAATAAAAATCTTTAAAAAATAAAACAATAAAAAAAATTAAAAAAGACTGGCTCCTAACATGAGCATTTGGTGTTTTTATTGGAAGAACTTGCTCACCTCCGTGCAGAAGCACCGCTCGGCAGTTGGTGGACACGGCGGCCTTGGCGTCACTTTCAGACAGCCCAAACAGTAGTCCTCTGGCGGGCCCATTAAAGCTTTCAACCCAGCGTCAGCCAAGGACAGGAGACTAACAGAAACCCAACTGCCAACCCCGGCTCCCCTGGCCACACCAAGAGGGACTTTCACTCTCCAGCAGTTCTAGCCTGAATGCAACGGGCATCTGTGAAGAGACTCAATCTAAGCTTTTATGATATAGAGTCCCTTCTTCCCCTTTTTCTATTTCACCCTTAACGCAGGAAACAAAAGGATGAAGCTCTCTACAACCTATGTAATTTATTTTTGAAATTTTACATCGGTAAACTCACAGTAAAAGGTTAAACTATAATATCACATCAATTTCCAAATTTCCTACATTTCAACAGCTTCCAACTCAGAAAAGGATACAAGTTTGCCACATCGTATGGGCCTCTTATTTCTAAAGGCTAAAATAAAGTGAACAAAAAAAAAGACAGGAGAGAAGTTATTCATAGTATTTCAATGACTTCATTTGCAGTAAATTAATAGGATGCTTAAATATCCAAAAACTAAAGGAGTTAGCCACATCAATTTAAGTCCTTACAATTTTGATGGTTTTCTTAAGTTTCCAAAAGTTTCTAAAAGAACCCTGAAAGCATTCTGTAACAGCATAAAGAAAAAAACTTCACATAAACAAAACCTGCATCCCAGAAGAAGTGGGGATACATTTTACTCTTCAACAACCGCAATGAGCACAGGCAATTCAAAATGCAAATATGCAATAAGCATTCATTACATTACTATTAATTTTTCCTCTAGAAACACGTTTCAAAGTTTTATAACTTGAAAAGACTTACCCTTTCTGCAGCACTAGACACAATCACATTCTGCCAAAGAGAAAGTGTTCAGTATTAATTTCAGATAAATGAAAAAAAAAAATGGAAAAGTCTTCTAATACAAATAACCAGTTATCACTTGCTAACATTTAAGTTTCTACAAATACCATTCTTCTAAAGATAAGGTAAAGAATCAAAGTCAAAGAAAGACCTTAGGATCAAGAGCAGCCTACAAGACAAGAAACAGAGTAAGCCTTCCCACTGGATCTTACAAAAGGTGAATTCATTTAAAAAACTACTTGAAAAAGTCATATAATCTTAATTCAACTAACTGATGACAAACAATTGTTATCCAGACCATTCTTTTCACAGTAGGGGAACTTCAAATTCCTTATTAGTAGATAAAGGGTTTCAACACATCTTCCTCCCCCACCCTGCCATTCTTCTTCCTTTGGTATTTCTCCTTCCCTTAAAACTTGCAGGGTTCACTGACATGGGAGAATTTGTTTCCCGGCTTCGAGAACTTTCTGCTTTAGGGAAAAGGAATCAGTTAAACAATTCCAGTATATTAATAATAAGAATAAACTGCTGGATTTGAAAAACACCTTGAAATTTGGGACCCATACCTTTCCTTTGCAGACCTGCATCAAATTGAGGGCATTGGAAATTGTGTACCTTCTCATTGTGGAATCTTTGATAGCAGGGCTGTAGATGAGTTCAAAGCCCACGCCTCGGTCAATTGCCTTCACAGGAGATAAAGGAAATAAACTGTCAAGGAGAAACACACACTGTCCTACTTTCTTTTCACTAAGAATCTCCCTCACCTCCCTCCTCAACGTCACCTTAGACCTCCCACATGCCAAGGTACAGCTTGAAACAAAGGCAGATTCATGCCTGAATGGCACCATCCGCAGGAGAAGGCCGATGTTTGGCTCTATCTGATCAATAGTGGATCTTAGCTGTGGGGAAGCTGACTTTATATAAATAGGAATCGTGAGGCAGCTACAGAGAGCAAAGTCCCAGTGGGGTGGCAAATGGGCTATTCCTCCACGAACTATTAAAAGGAAGATGGAGATGTGCTCCCTACACTTCCAGTAAACTGTTTGCAAACACAGAAAACAACAACAAAAATTAATTGGACCCAACAATGTAAGAGACAAAGAAATGAAGAGCTGAAAAATGCTTGAAGAACAGGGGTGGGAAGGCCCCTCAGGTGAGTCAATTATTACATATGTTGAATGAAGGAAGTATCGTGTCAAGTGCATGCTAAGAGTCTTATGTGTGTATTTAACCCTAATGACACCTTTATGAGGCACTGTGACAGAGACTGCTAACTGACCCCAATATCTGTTCTCCCCTTGTCCTTTACTAGAGTCCTGAGTTCTGGCTGGGCTCAGGCATGGAAGAAGCCTGGGCTCTTAACTATTTTGCCCAGCTCACCTCACCAGACAAGCTTAGTCTTTTACATGAGAAAAAGAAACTTCTTTCCTACTTAAGGCATTCTTAATAGCTGGGCATCCAGAAGTAAGAAAACAGCCTGGAAGGGGTGGAAACAGAACTGAAATCCACCACTACGCTGTCCATCTTTTCTGATGACCAGCTCTGTATCTTCATTCATTCACGACAGGTGTGTGTTCAGCCAACTATGTGTGGGAATGGTGAGCAAACGCTGACATGGTTCCTCCCTTTTCAGACCTTTTACTCTAAGGGGACTACCAAATAATTAGCAAAAAACCTAACACTTCAACTGTGGAAAGTGCTATCAAGAAGTTTAGGAGTAGATGACGAAGGAACTGAGTAAACAGGCATTTTCAGAGGGAGGAGTACACGGAAAGGCTTTGGCGTTGGAGGGAATGTGGGAGCACAGAGAGGAGGTAATGGCTGGGGACAAGAGTGAGGGGGCCCCCTGTGGTGGGAATAGAGGCTAAGGAGGGTGGGAAGGGCCAACTGTGCCAGTCTCTAGGACTGCAGGCACACTCATCTTAGCAGTGGGAAGCACCTGAAGGATGCTAGCTGGTTGCAGTGCTCTTCTGAACGAACAATAGAAGGACGGCAGGCACAAACTGGGCAACCCCTGGCAAGTGAGTTTCTATTACCCAGAGGATGAGCTGGGAGTGGTCAGCTATGGCCACGGGAGGTCTACTTCTTAATGTTCACAAGGAACGGAAAAACGGGTCTTCCAGAACTGGCAGCCCACCTTAAACTAATTCAGGTGCACATGGAAGGCCCCTACTTTCCCTCCCTGAACCGAGACTCCCTTTTTCCTATCCCCTAATCCTCCCTTCATTAACTTTTCCTCTTGCCTTAAGGTTCTGAGATTTTAATTGTAGAATTCCTTACATATCTGATATTAGTTAAAATTTACATGGGATTTTCCATATTGCAACCTTCCCTGACAACTTCTTCCCACCTCTAAACCTTGGGCTTGTGTTGATTATTTCTGGGAATGGTGTCTGTGATGATACTCTTTGTGCCAAAGTTAAATGTGCACCTCGGTCTCCCTGCCTGTCTTGTACACAGCTGGAGAGCAGCGTCATGATTATTTCTTTGTAAGAAATAACTCCCTTTTATGCAAAAAGTGTTAAATGTATTTATATTCTGAGTAGATAAATAGTAGCTTATAGGAAAGAGGTTATGTAATGCTGCTGCTCACCACAGATTATTCATGTAAAAGGAACCAGGATAAAACTGGCGAATTATTCAACAGTTAAACCACAACACTTCCTTTAGCCAGATTCTCAACTATTTCCTTGGCTACTTCTCTTACCAAAATTACTAATTAGTCAAAGAAGCTGACATTTTTTCTTCATCCTGCTATTTGCTGAACTAAAACACAAGGCAGTAGGATGGAGAAGGGGAGATGTGGATGATACACAGACCTGGGGGACCAGGTCATAAAGTATCCCTAACTGTATCTAAAATTTTAGCCCCCTCTGGGGATGAGATCAAAATAAAAACTCTCTTTCACAGGGGGAGAGAGCAAAGACAATAATCAGCTTAATTAGTCTTTAAGAAAAAAGTTCTGATTTTGTTCTTAGTACATTAATCAAGTTCACTTTTAAACAGCTAAGAAAAGTCTGAGACAGAGAAATTATACATAATGTGCTATTGAAGGTTGTGAGTATTTCTTACTATTTTTCAAAATTTTCAATGGATAAAATATAGACTCATTACCTGGGCCTGTTTCTAAGACCATTCTAATGTAAATTGCCTTAAGCTTGTCAAATGATTGTTCTTAACAGCCTCTTCATAAAGCATGACAGTGCCTGCCTGATTGGCTTTTGTTCGCATCCTGACCAAGGTTCTGGAATAGGCAGATGATCAGATTTCTTTACGAATGAGAAGTTAACAGTCATAATGACGCTATAAAGGGCAGGTGTGTGATACGTGAATCAAGAAAAAACTGGTGGTAAAATTCCCAAAACTAAGCAAAGCTGAAGATGACAGGAAGAAAATAGAGAGTTGATTACCAGGCCAATATACAGATTCTCTGGTAATTTCATAAAAATTCTTTACTGAGTTCAAAAGGATTCAACACCCTTTGGTGTAACATTATTTAAGGTAATTTGTTCATCTAATTCACTAATGAAAGTAACATAAAAAAACAATAAAAAGTTTTACTTGTATGTCTGCTCCCATCTGCCCCATTCCCACCTCTTGTAATTACTTCTATTAATTTCTGTGTCTTCTTCCAGAGTGTCTTCATACAAACATAAGTAAATATGAATACATATTATTTTTCCTCTTTCTTACCCAAAAGGTAGCACACCATATTCTTGTTCTGACTCGAGGGCTTTTCTATGTCAGCTCCTAACTCCTGAATTCTGTCTTATAGCGGCACAGTGTTTCACTGGAGAGATACAGAGGCGTGTAATTAACCACGCCTCCATCAAGAGACTTTGGGCTGTTTCAATCTATCTGTAGAATAAACACTCAAGCTGGGTATTACGGGTTGAACTGTGTCCCCCCTCCCCACCCACCTGAAAGGTATGCTAAAGTCCTAACCCTCAGTGCATCAGAATGTGACCTTACTTGGAAACAAGGTTGTTGCGGATGTAATTAGTTAAGATGAGGTCACTGGTCTAAGATACACCCCTGATCCCAAGACTGGGGTCCTTACAACATGACAACCACATAAAGACACAGACACACAGGCAGAACATACTGCAAGATGAAGCCAGAGACTGTGGAGTCACACAGTTGCACACCAAGGACCCCCAAAGATTATTTACTGGCAAATCAGAAGCCAAGAAGGGGCGGAGAAGGATTATCCTACAGCTCCTACAGGGAGTGTGATCCTAATGATATCCTGATTTCAGACTTCTAGCCTCCAGGAGCATGAGACAATAAATCGCTGTTGTTTTGAGCCACCCAGTTTGTGGTGCTTTGGCAGCCCTAGAAAACTAATACACAAGGTCAGAAAGGGAAAGCAGTTGTAATTTGGATGGTTGTTGCCAAATCACCCACTTCCCCATAGGGATCGTTCCAATTTACACTGTTCCAGCAATGTACAAGAATGCCTGCTTTCCTGCAACCTTACAGCAGAGTGTACATCAAACTCCCAGGTTTGTGCCAGTCAGTTAGGTGTTTTTCATGTGAATTTTTCCTATAATGGAGAATTAAATAACTTTCATTTTTGAGGGCCATTTGTATTTCCTTTCCAGTGAAATGTCTTTTCACATTCTTAATCCATTTTGGGGGGACTGTTCATCTGTGTTTTTTAGCCTCTCATTAGCCTTTTAAAAAGCTTTGAAATATGTGAAAATATTTTCACCAGTCTTTTAACCTTCTTTCTGGTTTTTTTGCCACACAAAAATTGTTGATACTGGCAAGTTTGCTAGCACTGGTCTAAGCACTGGATTGATAAAGCACTCAACACATTTAGGTTCACAATATGTGTGATGAAAAATAAAGTTTATAGAGCTCTCACACCCAACTCAAGTATATATGGCATCATTCCTGGAACAAGTTCACGGCTTCAGACACTATTTGCTGGACACTTCTCAGTGGGGACTAATTGGACCATGAAGACAGAAATAGATTATAGTTAAAGGGAGTGCTGAGAGGAAAACATCAGGGAACATAACACATATAAGCACTGAAATAACTCCATAAACTTGAAGTCATTGTTGAATGGCAAGAACACTGGGAAAAAGAAAAAAAAAAAAATCAAAGGGAAAAATCAAAGGAAGGTAAAGATATGTGCTGCTTAAAAAATTGTTCTCGAAACCTGAAATCCTAAAGATCATGTTCTAAAATATCAGATTATTCTATGCTTAAGAGTTGTGCTGTAAAGTAATTTTAAATAGCATTTCCCAGTGGGAAATGACAGCAGATTTAAAATCAGAGCTCGAGTACAATTCCCAAGTCAACTTGTGAGAGAAGTGTGAGCCACAAACTACCTGAGTCTGATCTTATCTGCATAATGGAGATACTTCACATCCACACGCCCTATGGCTGCTGGGCTGGAGCAGCTGAGAAAGTGCCTAAACCATAAGATAAGTAATGAGAAGTCACCTGACTGTCTAAGAAGATGAGCTGAATTCAACTTTTTGAAATCCAACTATCACATGATGAAGTTGTGATTTCCGTACAGGTTACTTAGACTCCAGAAGAGGTTTGTAGGAGATTTTAGAGGGAATTACATAACTGATGTTACGGTGCCCCAAGCATGTGGTGAAGATAACTAAGGGGGATACAAGCTCTAAGTTGTACAAAGGAATGCTCTGGTGTGCTGCTCGAGCTCCTGGGCCACTTTCATGACCCCAGCTGTCGTCTTCTAACTTTACTGAGGAATAACTGACAAATACAACTATACATATTTAAAGTATATAATACAATGATTTGATACACATATACATTGTGGAATGATTACTAAGATCCACACAATTGGCACATAGATCACCTGACATAGTTAATGTAATCTTTTTTTTTTTTTTTTTTTTTTTGGTCAGAATGCTTCAGGTCTATTCTCAACAACTTTCAAGTACACAACACTGTACTATGAACTACAGTCACGCGAGTACATTAGAGCCTCAGAAGTTATTCTTCTTGCAACTGGAAATTTGTACCCTCCAACCTATCATCCCAACCTTTTGAGCTGATAACTGTCACATGGCTTAAGGCCTCTGGGAAGAAGACTAATGAATTAAGTATCTTAATGTTCCTGCTCCTCACCACCGCAAAATAAAGGGATACATATCCTTCCTAAATTAAGATCTGCGCCCAATACGGTGATCCTTATAAAGTCAACCTAACAACTTTTCATGGCCAAAGACAAGTTGACTCACAAGTCCAAAGGAGCATGCAAGGACCAGGACCTAAGATTAATTATTACTCTCATTTACCACATTTTCTATCCTTTCGTGGTGAACGTATTTCCATATTTTAATGTAAAATCTTAACAGCTCCATATCTAGAATAGACATTATTAGATACAAATAATAAATACATATCATACAACTCTTACTTACCCTGAACAATAAGCTAGCTACCTCTTATTATATGTTTCCAGCTTACTCTTTCAAATAAAAAATGGGTGGTGAATAAATATGGACTTTAGTGCTTCCTGACCAATTCACACCACAGCCTACTTCTACTCTAGATGAAGACTAAAAATAATCCTGCACAGCCCTTCCTTCCACTCCATCATCTAGTTTTTATTAAACAACATATGTAAAATGTTCACACCAGATTTTTTAAAAAAGCAGACACTGTGTTAAATACTGCATATCCCTCTCGCTTGTCAAATTTTTACTTTTCAGAATTTCTTAAATTGAAATAGATGGGAATTAAGCCAAAAATATCCATCAAACAGCAGTTTTCCTGTACCTACAGATGGAACTGGAGGGTGGGCGGTCCTACTGCCACTGTCCCCACTGCCATCCTCCTCATGCTGCCCCAGTGCCCCACTTCCCTCCATGCCCACACTTCTGCCAGACCCTGACAGCCAGATAAAGACTGATGACAAGGAGGATTTGGCCATGTTCCCCAAGCTGCACCTTGATATGCTAAATTTGACATATATTCATTCGACTGACAAAATCTAAGGAGTATCCATTGCAGGCAAGATTTTGCGGATAATTAAAAAGACCCAGCCCACAGCTGGTGCACTCTATAAGCTTACAATCTGGGTTGAACAGTAGGGCACATTCATAAGGAACTAACTAAAAGCCCTTGCCAAAACAGCCATTGAGAAGCCTACCACTGTTGAAGGACATGAGGAGTTATGTGCTGTGCACTGCTGTCCATCTGTTCCATGGAATTGGCCTTAGCAATCCATGCTACTATCTCCTCCCAGTCAAGGGCACAGTACGGTAGGTGGGTTTACTCAGGCAAAGAAGTCTAGAAAATGGCCTTCCTTATTTATTAAGACAAAGAGAGAGGTTAAAAAAAAAAATGTAAGCTGAATAGCAATTTACAGAGTGGCTGTACCACCTAACTGCAGAAATTGGACTGGTAGTTGGAGGCTGGTAAAAAGTCTCGGCAAACTTCTAGAGACAGAGCTTGCTATCTCTGAAGAGGAACAATATATGAGGTGTATGAGACTGCCATCACCTCGGGTACTGTATTTGTTTGTGCCTTTTATCGCGGGTAGCTGGAGCATTTCAGAGTTCTCTTTTGACAGGGTACCAACCAGAACTTTCCCCATCCTATGACTGATGGGCTAAACGGCTTCTCCTTGCTAGCCTGCATTTACCACACTGCACAGGTGACCTGCTAAAAACAACACAGATCTCCAACCCGAAAATGTGATGATTCAGGATTGTTTTTAGGGTTTATTTTTTTAAGTACCAGCAAGAAGACAGGAAACATGATTTGAGCTTAGTAAATACTGTTTTATGTTCAGTAGCACTCTCTGTATTTATCAAAAAGAGCTGGTTTATAGTTTTCCCCTTACATATATGACTTTAAAATTTTGAGTCCTTTTCAAGTTCTTTAGTAGCATATTTTTAGGGCTGGAACATAGGCCAACTTAAATTTTTCCACACAGATTCAATTTTTGCACACCACATAGATCAATGTTCTCCTTTTACTGTCTCCCCCTACTCTTGGCCTCGAGCCAATTCCTTAGCAGCGGCGACAGCGAAAGAAAGCTCGAGGAAGTTGTGATTCCACAGAGACAGAAGAAGAGGGGAGTTATCGATCTTGAAAAAGTGCCTAAGTTTTTAATTTTCCAATTCTGACAGGACAGGGTATGGAATCTGGACTGCCTGTGAGACCCTCGGTCTCCTTCGAGAGGAATTCTTTAGAAGTGGAGCCAGGTTTGGAAGCTGCTCTTCTGAAACAGCATCCTAACCCTTCCCCAGGACCCGGCTGCCTGCGCAAACAGCTGACTGCCGTGCTGACCTGGCAGCCATGGAGGTCAAGCTCTACCACCTTTCTGATGAAGACTGGCAAGAAGGTGTGACAGATGGAAGATAAAGGGTTGGGAGAAACCAGAGAAACTACGTAGAAAGGTAAGGAGAATTCCATTGCAGAAACAGGAACAAAACTTTCCTGAACACATGGCCACCTTCTAAGGTTATTATAAAAGTGATCCTGGGCTTTTGCATCAACCAGCGAGGTTCAGGGTAGATCTTCATCCTGCTTGGACCTTGACGGCTGGGCGTTCTGCACCTGGCTCCCTCCTCTACACACCCGCCCGAGCTCGCTGGTGCCTCAGGAACCCTCTCTGTTTTTTTCCCCTACCTCTTCTTTCTAGATTGCCTTATCCCCTTACTGTTCAATGCTCAGGCTCTAAGTGTCTGTGATTATGGCTATCCTTTTAAGAAATATCCTTCATTAACTCTGGCTTCTGAGGTCTTTTAAATGCATCTTAATAATTTACTGGATAATTTTTGTTTCAAGTTCCCTTTCTACCTCTAGTCAGCTTTCAAAAATGAAAATCCTCTTTCCTAAACTGCCTACTTATCTCCCAGCCTTCGGTTTTTCCTTCTAAAGAATACTAGGTCCTTCTGCCCCTTTTCCAGTTCGTTAACGTGGGTTTGTACAGATTCACATATAAAAGAGAAAGTACAACACTCACCACATTAATAGGTGGTCTTTTGAAGTAAAATGGTAGTTTCTCTGTTACGGTTATACAGACTAAATCCACATCTAAATGTGTACAAGCGACCTGTCAAGAAAAAAACAAAAACAAGAACAATAGGTAAAGACGAAAGAAAGAAATGACACACATTAAGAATGGGAGACATAGTCAAATCTGATTTAAGGAAATATAAATTATATATGGTTCAGTCCACAGGCATCATAATGGTATTGAAATGTATCTGTCAATGATTAGCCACTCCTTCACATTCGGTTTGAGTGGTTTAACTGTAACCAAGCTGGAGCACAGTGGAATGTCCACGGATCATCTCACCAGACAGAGCCTGGAGACCCTCTAACTCACGGTTGCTACAGAAGGGTGGGATGCTAAGAGAGGCTCAGTTTCCGGAAGGCTACATCAGATTGTTCCAGAAAGTGGTAACTAACTGTTCCGAAATCCAGGAAGAAAAACAAGCCAAAGGAATATGTGCATGGTCCATTTATTCCACAGATTATTTATTTTTCTGCCAGGAACTGTCCTAGGACTGTGGCTTCTATCAGACTACTGAGGGGCTAGGATACTAGCATGGCCCTGCTGATGGCATTTTGTTCCAACTAGAAGAGAAATAGTCTACATAATGGGTGTAATGCATAAGTTGTCTCCATAGAGGGGAAAGAGATGATAAGAAAAAGCAGCAGGGGGAGGAGGAGGAGATGGAGAAGGAGGGTGGTGGTGGTCAAAGCACAGTTGTTACAAATCAAATGATGCTGAATGTATTTTTCAACTTCTAAGTTCCCTTTCCTTTGTTCTAATTTTTGTTCTTGCTTATTGATCAATACTTTGCATTTACCTCCAAGAGGTTTGAAATGGCTTTCAAAAAAACGAAACAAAAACATACAAAAGAAAATAGATAAGGAAAACAGAATGAAAAGAAAATCAGAGGAGCAAAATAAAGCTGGGAAAAGATTACGAGCATAAGAGTATATGCCAAAACCACTGCTAGAAGATGCGTATCTGGCTCTGATTTGGCCTTTACTTGATTTACAGTGACAGAAAGAATTGTCTGTTTTATAGTGTATTGAAAACAAGCCTTACTGACAATGCTGGTGTAGACAGGCTTGATGAACAAAGTCAAAATGCGAGGTTGGCTATGCTGGCAAACTAACACCAGGGCTCTGGCCAGAGGGGAAGGGCAGAGTAAGGAAGAGGGGTAAACGATCAGCTTGGACTTTTAGCAGTGACAAGAATGTCACATCTTGCCTTTCTTCTTCAGAATTCCCACTTTGGTCATTCCTACCCCCACTCCAGGGCTTTAGGAAGAAGCAAGCAGTGATAAGAGACTGCCTGGCTTTAGACGCTCATAGTAACTTAGTAAGCCTGGGAAGTAACACTGTTTTGGCAGAAACACTTGGCTCATAAACAATCTGCCCCATCCCAACTGCTACAGCTGTCCACCTCATAAAAGACTCACTGAGAATTTGATAAGAATGGATGAAAAGCTCTGAATAGAAGATATAACAAATTCAGCTTCTGGTCACCATTTTTAAGCTATCAGAATAGCAAAGATCCACAAGTTCAGTAATCCACTGCTAACAAGAGAATGAATAAACAGGCACTCACAGGGTCTTTGAATCAGTACAGGGACTTGAAAAGGATTTTAGCACAGGGGTCAAAATTTTAAACACACACACCAGCAATTCACCTGTAGGAATGTATCCTGTAGAGAGCCTGTGGAAATATATTCTATAGCCTTATACCCAACAAACGCTCAAGAATATTAGTGCGAGGAGAGTCATTGCAATACCAATCACCAAAGACTAGACACAACTTGATATCCCTTTATTTTACTTCAATAAAATATAGTCCCTTTATACAACACAGTATGAGGACTCCAAGGGAATGAAGTACATCTGTAATTGATATTATGGAACCATATATACTGTTAGGTGAAAAAAAAAAGCATGGTATTAGGAAGGAAGGAAAGGTAGAAGGAGGAAGAGGGGAATTAAGGAAGGAAGGAGTACGTATATAATTACTGCTGAGAAGATACCCAAAAACTATTAGTAGTGGTCGCCAAAGGAGAAAAGGGAGTTTCAGATGGGAAGAAAAGTGTACATTTCAATGCATGGCCCTTTGTCCAGTTTGAACTTATTATCATTGTTTTTCATCTAAAAAAAGCAGATTCATTTTTTTAAAAGCCCATTAAGGATTCTTCCTCAGAATAAAGCTAAATTAGGTTCTTTTTTTAACAGATCTATTGCTCATTTTCCCCCTCTTACATAATGGCAGCTAATTAAAAACAATCCCTTGTGTTGGTGTAAGTACATATAATAAACGTTCATGCACAAAGGACAGCTCCACTTGGCTCCCTCTGACACCTCAAACTTAAAATGTTTCAAACTGAATTCTTTTGTTATTTAACTTTCTTTTAATCCAAGTGTTTAACTGATACACTTAGGAAACTATAAAATAACAGCTCATTTTACATTATAATGATATTCTTCCTAAATCACTAAAACAGATTATGTTAAAATACTACTTGCAGTTGAGAACCTGATTATAGTGGTTTTGCCAAGTTGCGTATCAAGCCATCTCGGCTCTTTTCACCTTTCAGGGACTCCTATGAGGATTTAAGGAAGGCATAGTCTCCAAACTGCACATATGCACACATACATTTACTTTTGATTCAACAGAACTGGGAGAATGGGAGGGTAGGGGTTCAGTCTTCCACAAATCCCCTACATGGGTGTCGGGTTAATACATGTTGGTACTTTATGAGAAATAAGATGTAAAGGAGAGCCAGACTTACCCAGAGAAAAGCTAGATGTCCATCAAGGGTGACTCTCAGTCTCAAGTGTGTGTATATAAATTCCTCTGAAGAATTTAACTAAACTGGAAATTATCAGGTCTTACTTCCGGTAATAAACTCAGTAATAAGTAGGGCCTAATAACCTGCACTTTAACAAACAGCCCTGTCAGTTCTGAAGCTGGTGGAGCCAGCTTGAGGAGCACTGCCTGGAAGGTACTCCCTCTCCTGAGGAGCCTCTGGTGTTGCACATATGGTCTCCGACAACACTCTTTGAAGGCTACCGCACGGATTTCGGAAGGAAAAAAACAGACCTTCTATTTCCCTTTATTTTTTAATTCATTCTCTTAAAACTTGTTTTGTGTGCGTGTATTATTTAAAAAATCACGCTGACATAATGGAACATACACATAATTTATAAGAAAATAAACAAGGTACTGGGGATAAAGACTCAATTTTTTTTTTTAAATTGATGGAGTACAAAATCAAAGTACTTCAAAGCGCAATGGACTAAATAACTTGAATTTTCCTTATCCTGTTCAGTTATTTAAAATCCTAAATGGGAGTAACTCAGAAGTTCCCGAAGCTTCTATGTAATGCCACCTGCCAAATTCTGTGGCCATGGACTCCCCTTACAGTCTTTTACTTCTGCCTTAGCCCCTAGGGTAACTCTGGAGAGGGAGGGTTTATCCATGAGATATCTTCCAGATACTCCGAATGGAAAATCATATGTTATTTCCCATGGAAACAATGCTATTTAAGGTGGTTAGATTTTAAACTACTAAGTGTTAACACATGTGTGTGTGTGTATTTGCTTTTATGACTCATTTTAGAGACCTTAGTTTTAGAATATCACATCTACAGGGATGCTTGCTTAAATTCTAGATAATCTACTTAAAAAATCAAACAAATAAAATCACTTAGAGAATACAACCTGCTAAGCTACACATTGCTTGCATCTGACCCAGTTCCAAACCATGATATACTTGTAAAACCTTTAGGATTAAAAGAAAAATGTCTCTTAAAATTGATTTTCTATAGAAAACAGGGAGAGTGCTAACTTTAACTGCTCCTTAATGAATGGGAAAGATGTGGACAGATAAAAGGAAGATGTTCCAATTTTAGAATCTATTTTCATGTAACTTTTCATGTAACTCTCTGCATAGTCTGTTCCAAACAAATACCTTGTATGTTATTTATAGCTTCGTTCTATCTTCAGGAGTATTTCTGACAGTTCTACCCACCATACAAAGCATGTGTTCATGCTTTTGAATTCACACTTTTGAATAATTGGAGAAAAACAAGTACAGCTGACTCATTAGCAACCTAGGATTAAGGGGTGCCAACCCCTCACTCAGAAAATCTACGTACAACTTCTGATTCCCCCCCAAATTTAACTTCTGTTGACCAGAAGCCTTACTGATAACATAAATAGCTAATGAACATGTTTGTATATTACATACTGTGTTCTTACAACAAAGTAAGCTAGACAATAAACGTTACTAAGAAAAACATTAGGAAAATACATTTACAGTATTGTATTTATTGAAAAAAATCTGCACAAAAGTGGACCCGTGCAGTTCAAGCCCATGCTGTTCAAGGGTCAACTGTAATAAGATAAAATTGCTAAATGAAATTTTAATGTATTCCAAAAGTCCTGGCTCTGCTATATACTATCCAAGATTTAAAGCAAATCATTTAGCCTAAGTCTCAACTTTCTCTTCTAAAAAATGAGGAAAATAAAGTATATTTGTTCTGTTTATTCCCAGGATTATTGTGTTAAAGAAATAAATACGTAGAAGTTTCTGGTTAAATATATAAACATATGCTTCTCCACCATGTTATATAACTATCAAAATGTAAATTGTGTGTACTTCAGAATCAATTAAAAAAATAAATGGGCAACAAAAAATTAGGGACACTGCCAACTTTCAGTCTACATTATAAGTAAGCTGCTATTACTTAGAAAACTAAGCTGCTATTCAATGAACTTGGATATGCTCATATTCCTCCTTGGGGTTTCAATACTGAATGAGAATCTCCTATGGGACTTGAAAAAAACAACAAAACAAAACAAAACAAAACCAGATATTCTAACCCCAAACCTAATGGATCTGAATCTCCAGTGGTAGAGATCTGAAAGTTCCTGGTTTTCACCAGTTCCACAGGGGCTTCTGATAACTAAGAACCATTTGATCCCACTCACCTTTTTCTGAAACAAAATTCTCGATAACTACTATAGTTGAGCATTTTATGAAGTGCATCACCAAAGTAAAAAAAGAAAAAAATCACAGACAATTTCTGCTATTTCCTTGAAGTAATATAAACAATTAAGAATTGATAGTTGCCCTAAAAACTAAATTTAATCACACATCAGCCTCCTTAGTTAACAGCTCCACCTACTGGATAAACCAAAGGAAAATCATCCTACAATTTTAGAACACATTTTGCTTAAAAATGAGTGCTATATGTAGAAGAATGAAACTCGACCATTCTCTTACACCGTACACAAAAATAAACTCAAAATGGATAAAAGACCTCAACGTGAGACAAGAATCCATCAGAATCCTAGAGGAGAACATAGGCAGTAATCTCTTCGATATCAGCCACAGCAACTTCTTTCAAAATATGTCTCCAAAGGCAAAGGAAACAAAAGCGAAAATAAACTTTTGGGACTTCATCAAAATCAAAAGCTTCTGCACAGCAAAGGAAACAGTCAAGAAAACAAAGAGGCAACCCACGGAATGGGAGAAGATATTTGCAAATGACAGTTCAGACAAAAGGTTGATATCCAGGATCTATAAAGAACTCCTCAAACTCAACACACACAAAACAGACAATCATATCAAAAAATGGGCAGAAGATATGAACAGGCACTTCTCCAATGAAGACATACAAATGGCTATCAGACACATGAAAAAATGTTCATCATCACTAGCCATCAGGGAGATTCAAATTAAAACCACATTGAGATACCACCTTACACCACTTAGAATGGCCAAAATTAGCAAGACAGGAAACAACATGTGTTGGAGGGGATATGGAAAAAGGGGAACTCTCTTACACTGTTGGTGGGAATGCAAGTTGGTGCAGCCACTTTGGAGAACACTGTGGAGATTCCTCAAGAAATTAAAAATAGAGCTTCCCTATGACCCTGCAATTGCACTACTGGGTATTTACCCCAAAGATACAGATGTAGTGAAAAGAAGGGCCATCTGTACCCCAATGTTTATAGCAGCAATGGCCACGGTCGCCAAACTGTGGAAAGAACCAAGATGCCCTTCAACGGACGAATGGATAAGGAAGATGTGGTCCATATACACTATGGAGTATTATGCCTCCATCAGAAAGGATGAATACCCAACTTTTATGTCAACATGGACAGGACTGGAAGAGATTATGCTGAGTGAAATAAGTCAAGCAGAGAGAGTTAATTATCATATGGTTTCACTTATTTGTGGAGCATAACAAATAGCATGGAGGACAAGGGGAGTTAGAGAGGAGAAGGGAGTTAGGGGAAATTGGAAGGGGAGGTGAACCATGAGAGACTATGGACTCTGAAAAACAATCTGAGGGGTTTGAAGCGCTGGGGGGTGGGAGGTTGGGGGAAACAGGTGGTGGGTATTGGAGAGGGCACAGATTGCATGGAGCACTGGGTGTGGTGCAAAAACAAGGAATACTGTAATGCTGAAAAAAAAAAAAAGAAAAAAAAAAAAAAGCCCCCCCCCCCAAAAAAAATGAGTGCTGTGAAATGTGTAACAATTGTGAATCGTCCTGTACCCCTGTGGCAAATAATACAATATATGTTAATAAAAATAATAAAGTAAAAAAAACGAACTGGCTGTAAAATTAAAACATCAAAGACCAGTACACTTTTTTTTCTTTCTGCAGTATCCTTTTGGTGAGTATAGTTTTGGTAGTTGGCTATTTTCTTGAATCTAGATAAAAACAACATTCAGAACTTCCTAAAAGTAGCTATGCCTATTTTACACAGTAAAACATTCCTGAAAAACTGTATTACAGCTGATTTTTGTTTTTTCCTATAATCACTTAAAATGTGCAGAGTGAAAAAAATAAAATACCCAGTGTGCTCTGTTTCAACTTGACAAAATGACCATGCATGCTCAACAATGCTCCCTCCTGAAAAGTCACGGAAATGGCAATTTAAAAAATACAAAAGGAATTAAATTCATAAAGGCACAAAGAACACAAAGGGCAATAGAATCAGCAGATGGCTGATTCTGAAGAACTTCTGGAAGACTAAAGGCCGACATGATCTTGCTAGCATATGGACCACACCTCAGAGCACGCAAAGGAGAAAGCCAAACCAGAGAGGAGATCTCTTATGCCACAGCAGAACTCTGCACCTTTCTTCCCTCATGGGTAGCAATGCATGGTACAAAGGGCAGAAACCGAGGTGATTTCAGAGCTTTGAATGAGACAGAATAACATTCACCTAAGAGACATTTCAGATGAATGAACGAACAAGTGAATGAAGCAGAGATAAAGAAATAGAAAAAAACCTTGAGAGACTCTTTTCATCTGAGCCCAGCAAATATCCAGCAAGATGAATAAAACAAAACAAAACAACACATGCCACCTAAGTACCCCCTTGAGAAATTTCAGAATCCCAGGCATACATGAAAAATCTTAGAAGTTTCTAGATGGAGTGAAACAGATCACCTGCAAAAGCAGAACATCAGACTTCTTACATAAAATAATAAATACTATTTTCTTTCACTATCTGTTATTTACATACTCACATGAAAAAGTTTTTCTGTCTTTGGAAAAACTGCAACGATATCATACAGCCGGACCCTTGAAGACGTTGCTCTCTAGTAGTACAAAAAGAATGTTATTGTACAATAACCAAGAGTGTACACGTGGAATTCTGACTTATAGTCTAGCTGCATTTATTTTAATCACTTAATATTTCTTACATGCCATTTCTGCTTTGCTTTGTATACGGACAGAGAAACCCGCCTAAGCATACAAGGTTTTAGACCCCACCCATCACCCTCCTTCCCACATTGTAACCCTTTAACTGCATACCAAATTGTGCTTGTGATATAAAAATCAAATTGGATAGCTGGTGCTCTTATACATGAGTGAAGGAGGTTACCAGATATTTCTGAGCACCTACTGTGTGCAGGGCACTGGGGATATGAACTCATTCAAGGCATGTCTGGGCTCTCAGTGGAACTCACCATTTTCTTATGAGACAAGAAATACACACACATGATACAATTAGGCTCACAATAAGAATACTGTTAAGTAAAAATTAAAATGCTAGATGTGCAAGAAAATACCTGATAGTCCTCTGACAGTAGGAGAGGGATAGATCAGTTAAACAGTTATTGCTTAAAAATGAAAATCTCAAACTTAACACCATATGTGTATGTCTATGAAAAGGCTGGAAAACTATGCAGCTGAGCCCTGAACATGGGTTCACACTACAAAGGTCCACCCATACATTCTTTATTTAAAAAATAAATCTAGTACAGTACTGTAAATGTTATTACTGTTACTATAATGTTACTGTTATGTTATTAGTAAGGTTTCTGGTTGGCAGTAAGATGCCTTTAGTAGTGAAGTTTTGGGGGAGTAAAAATTTATACATGTATATTTAACTATGTGGGGTAGGAGTAATGGGGGTCTGTGCCCTCATCCTTGGCATTGTTCAAGGCTCCACTCTATGTTCAAACATGGTTTCTGAATGATGGAATAATATGTGATATTTCTTCTTTGCCTGTTTGTACCTTTAAAGTTTTTACCTCTGATTTTGTAGAAAGAAAAGGCATTCTAAAAATCAGAGCAGGAAAGGGGAGGGGTGAAGAGAAGCAGAAGCAGGCATGAAGGGCTGCTGGACAGACATGCTGACACAGGGCGGACCCCAGGTCTTAGAGAAGTTAGGACCTAGGATTCTGTGCCCTCTGCTTGTCCACTCCCAATTGAAAAGGAACAAAAAGGGCTTACCAGGATGCTCACGATAACAAGAGAGAATGAACATCTTTGTGACCCATCAAAAGTCAGCTCCCTTTAGGTCTATCTGGGCCCAGAGAACCAGAACCCTGCCTTGCAGTTGCATAAAATACCAGAACTTGGCTTTCCACTTTTGTTTTTAAGCAATGTTAATCATTATAAAAGGGGCCAGCCCTTCCTTGATGACTCCTGTTCTATGGCAGAGGAGTCCACTCCAGCTCAAGATAAAACTGCTCACATTTTCAGGATCTCTCTCTCTCCTTCATTAGATCCTTCCCATCAGCAGGCATACTCCTCTCTCCCAGCTACTAAAACCCAGAGATAGCAGGTTCTTGTCTGCCAACCTCCCTGTGCCTTCTGTTCCCCAGTGGAGTCAACTTTGCAAGCAAAGTTAGCATCACACACTGTCTGCATTTCCTCCCGTCCCTATCACTTCCATGGAGGTGGTTTTTTTGCTAAGGCAACCAATGACTTCTTGTCAATATTCCAAGATATGTCTGTGCCCCTCTCCTGCTGGACTACTCGGGCTCGAAGATGCTGCTGACCCTTCCTCACGTTTCCCTTCTCACTTTGCCCATTGTCTTCATATTTCTCACAGTCCCGCCTCAGTCTCCAGTTCTAGCTCCCCCTTCTCTGCTCCACCATTAAATGCTGAAGTTCCTCAGGACTCTGTCTGAGAACTTCTTCACACGTCCACGCATGAACCAGGGATTCTCATCCATTTCCATGACTTCATTTACTCTCTACAGAGCGACCGCTTCCAAATTAGTATTTTTAATCAGATCCCTCTTCTGAGGGCCACGCCCCTTTTTCCAACTACCCATTTTACAAACACCACTGGAATCCTTACAATAACCCATCATGTGCCAAACACAATGCCTTCAAACCTGCTTTTCTTTTTATATCCTGTCTCAGGAAAAGGTACCACCATCTACCTAGGGCTGATCAGACAGTGCTGGGAGCCACCACACTACATCCAATCAACCATGGAATCCTGTCAATCCTCAGCCCCTGCCAAGCCTCTTAAATCCCCTCAACCCCTCTGATCCAGTCTCTATAATGGAAACATCATAATTTCACTCTCATTTAAAACTTTCAAGGGCTTCCAACTGCTTACTCAGACTAGCTCCCTAACCTCATCCCAGGTTAGCCAGCTCACAAGGGTGAGCCCTACTGGTGTTGTTTCATTTCCCAGAAAACACCATGTTTTCTTGGGACCCAGAACCTGTGCCTAATCCATCCTGTCTGTGGGAACACTCTCTCATGTGCTCAGCACCTACATAACACTTACTGATTCTTCTGGTCCCAGGTGGAACATCACCTTCCTCAGAGTATCTTTTATTTACTACTTCCAACTCTTCAAACATTCCACACATTTTTAATTATCTGTTTAGTGCTTGTCTTGTCAATTAAACTATAACCTTCTTAAGTTCAACAATCCTGTCTGTCTTATTCACAGCAATATCTCCGGCACCCACTGTACGTCTGGTTCATGTGAGTTCAATGAAGAACAGTTGTCAAAGGATTTGTTAACTGTGGTACCCCTGTATCTGTGCCAAGAGTAGAAGAAACTGTTATGTTATATGAATTCTGAGGATAAGGAGAGTAGGCAGGTATCCTAACTGGGGGCGGGGGATTCAGGGATTCAGAAGGTGGTGAGGTTCAGGCTGCCTGGGTGGCTCAGTGGGTTAAGCATCTGCCTTCGGCTCAAGTCATGATCCCAGGGTCCTGGGATCGACCCCCATATTGGGCTTCCTGCTCTGTGGGGAGCCTGCTTCTCCATCTCCTTCTGCCTGCTTCTCCCCATGCTTGTGTTCCCTCTGTCAAGTAAATAAATAAAACCTTAAAAAAAAAAAGAGTAGGAAGTGAGGTTCAACATGAACCAGTACAACTTAAAAGGCCAAAAAGAAGAAAAATTAACTTACCAAAACATTACAGTGAGATGGATCTGAAACGATAATCGTCAATCTAGTTAAAACTTTGATCGGTCTTGATTTTCCCTATAATCAAAAACATTCTATCAAAAAAAGTTCAAATGCCAATGACTGACTTTCCTCTTTACCAGTGGGAAGTAGTCATTAAAAGGTACCAGCAATAAAAGATAGTGACGATCAGTAAAAGCTAGTCTTCATTACCAAGGAATTTATAATATAATTAGTAAAATAAAGATGTACATGTGTTAAACTACATAAAGAGATTAAAGGTTATAGGACTTCAGGAAAAAAGATCATCAAAGAAGTACTGAATTCATAGTAAGTGAATACTTCATGGAAGAGCTGAGTTTTGTGGAAAAGTAAGACTGGCAGAGGAAGGAACAGTGCCCGTTAGAAAACCCTACATAAAATTGGGCATATTTGAATAGTATTATGGTTCTTAAACAACAAAATACCCACCTGTACAATTGGCAAAGTTGTAAAGAGTTCAGAAACAGCTACTGGTTTTTCAATTTCCTATAAAAAACAATAAACAGTCACCCTAGATCATACATGTTAAAGGAATGAAGCATAATGGAAAACTTATAAGGGGTTTTCAGAAAAGTTAATTTCTGGTGTAGAGAAACACTTAAGTTTAAAAAAAAAGTAAAAGGAAGAAAGCTGGAAATCAGAGAAGCGGTTGGGAACATCAATGGAGAGGAGAGATGAAAAACAGTTTTTAGACTGAAATAATCTAAAAGGTACAGTTGTTGGGCCTGAAGAGAAATATACACATTTACAGGCATGTTTAAGAGGGGAATTGGTAATGAGTCCATGTCAGTAAAATAAAAAGGAGTAATACTGGGATTACAATTCAATGACAACGTACTTTTAAAAATTACTTAAAGTTGTTTAATTAACATCACCTCAACTTTAAGAATCTTTCTACCATGCCCTAATACTTCACAAAAACTTCGCACTGACTCAACAGTTAACATGTAAAATAAGATAGTACACAAGAGGGTGCATTTAAGAAATATGCTCATCTGTAGCTTCCACATTACCAATATAAACAAAGACAATGGTAAATGCTGGTTATTAACTTCAGAAATTGTTTTTTACCTGTTTCTTTTCCTTGAATTCAACAACATGATTGATGGCAACAACTGAATAGCCAACTAAAAAGAAAAATCGAACATTCTTATTAAATGGGACAACCTTTTCCCTGTATGTACAGGCTCGGCTCAATTCATGTCAAGATTAGGGGTCAGTAGTAACAGTGGTTGTGGATATGGGCTCCAGTGTCAGACCACCTGCCTTCAAATCTATGGGTTACCACTTACAAGTTACTTAACTTCAAGCTTCAGGTCTTCAACTATCAAATGGTGTTAACAGAACTTACCTCACATAACTGTCATGAGAAAACATAATAAGCACAGGATGATTGAGAGCAGTGCGTGACAGAGACAGGGCTCTGTTTGACTTCTGTGATGTATTATTAGCAGGATACTTTTTCTTCTAGCTCATTTCTTTTGCTTTTTACCCTCTCTACTTCCCTCAGAGTCCTTTTTCCTAGGAAGAAATGGAGTAATCACTCCTTCACACCACTGCTCACCACCCCTTTCCAGCTGCCCACCATCAGTAGATTGGGAACTCTCTGGAGGCCAGGGCCTTGCTTTATCAGCTCAATACAGCATTTTTCTGGACATTCGGACTACCAAAAATACGTCTGGATCGTGACTCCTATTTTTAAGTTATTTAAATACCAGTGGGGACGACAGGATACTAGTATTAAAAGATCATGCATATTAATGCCAGAAGAATGGCTCGCTCTCTCTCATCTGTTTGATTTCCTTCTTTCCTTCCTCTCCCTTAAATAGTTAATGAGCGTCCATTATTCGACAGGCTCCACAGAAACCTCCTCATTTTTAAACTTCTCTATCCCCACACTTTACAGTGGAAGGAAGAAGACAACACTCATGATTAACTACAATCATTAAAAAGCATCTCTCAGGGCTTTGGCCTTCCCTTGGATTCAAATATGCCTAACATTCTTGCATTCTGGCCATGCTGCTCCCCTCCCACCCGCATAGTACGTCTTCCCTCCTCCCCCTACCTCCTCTTCTTCTTAATATTGTCTCCACAATGTCACCCTCACGTCCCTTCCCCCTTTTCTTTGAATTTCCACAGCTTTACCCGCCTATGCTCAATTCCCCGAAATGCTCTGATAGTGCCGTGAGGCGGAAAGGGGTGATACCAAAAGCAGTGGCGTAGGTAACTTGTACACTCGGAAGCCCAGGCTTCAGCCATCCATCAGCTGTGGGGCTCTATGCACGTCTCCTATCCTCTCAGAGCCTCAGTTTTTTCAACTGGCAGGCGAGAAGGAGCTGGACGGGGTAACAACTCCCAGGTGCCTTCGAGTTTCCCGCGCCCGGGATCAGAGCAACACCGCGGCGGCATCAGCTACCAGGGACATCCCAGAGATCTCAGGAGACCTGGACGAGGACAGGCCTCGAGTCCCTCTTGAACTTGGCCCGATGGTCTAGGGAACAGCGAGACTGGGCAGGCACAGCGGCCCGCAAAGCCGGGGAGACTCACGGTGAGCGGCGTTCTCTACCAGCCCGCGAAGCGCCTTCAGGTCGGAACCCGCTCTCAGGTCCAAATCCGCGAACACCGCCATGCCGAAATCACGTGACCGTCGCGTGTCTGTCTGCGCAGCCGCAAGGCCCGCCCCCTCTGGCAGGCTGGGAATTGTAGTTTACCTGCGCCTCCCGCCCCTCTCTCCACTTAAATAATTATTCGCTTTAAGGTTCGAAGGCACTTGCCTCGCCTTCGAGTACCAGCAAAAGTTAGTGTGTTGAAATCCACGGCCTCACTTCAGTCCTTCTTTGCCGCCTTCTGAATGAGAATGTTTGGTTTCCCTCGGAGGCGTTCACGTCTCCCACCATTCGTCCAGAAAATACTGTGGAAAGTGATTCTTTCGCGAACCGGACACTTTTGCCAAGAGCTGGAAGGGCTTTTGAAACAGTCGTAAGAAACCCTTTTCCCTCCGCCTTCTGAAGTCCATTCTGTTCTTTGAAACGGGCTGATCCGGAAGACGGAGAACTGAGCAGAAGACCTCACATCGAGGGTCTTTCGGTCCAGTCAGAACGGGCGGTCCCCGGCGCGCGGCTCTGTCTTGCGGTCCCCGTCTCCAGCCACGAGATGGCAGGGCTCTCTCTCGGACGAGCGGGGAGCCCCAGGACTGGGTTAGCCAGACAGGTTCGACAGGGGACATGCAAAATTGAAATCTGTCCGTGTTCCAGCTGAGAAGTGAACAAAGTGGTACATATCCCACACATTGGATGTTTCCACATTTTTGGACTTCATTTAAATGAACTCTCGAAGATTGATAAATTATCCGACAACGTAAAATTGTGGAACTACAGTTTACATCGGGGCTTCTTAAACCGGACCGGGAGTCTCACCTCTACCCCATCCTCCGGTCCCCTCCCCCGCCTCCAGTTCTTCGGAGACCCCGTACGTGGTCCCTTGTGCGTTGCCGGTGAGCGGCAGCTCTGGCCGCATAAAACTGGTTTGACAACAACCGATTCGCCCTGTACTCCGCAGAATAAGAAGAGCCCACTGACGGGGGCGCTTAAATATCCAGACAATAACAAAGTGCTGTAAACGTTTCTAAACAGTTTCAATTTCTGTACTTAAAACAAACAGTACCTAGATAGTCTCTGGTCTGTGGACCACACCGTAATGATTAGTCCTTCTTTACATGCTTTCTTTCCTGATTTCAGAAGGCAATTTTAAGAGGGCTCTGTTCCATGTGGTAGCATGCAATTCTCCTTTTGGTTAAATTTAATAAAGAAGAAATATTTTGCCTTTTTCCAGTACTTGATATTTCTTAAGTAAGAACAAGAATTTTTTTTTTTACTTCTGTAAATAGAACAAGGTCATGCAAAGCAAACTCTGCTTTTCATCAGGAAACCTAGGGTTAATTTTGCAAGATCATACAGGCATCTTCACCTATGACCACAGTATCTAGAATGGTCAGAAATAGGACCAAGGCGTGGTGAAGGTGAATAAAATAAATGATTCTTTGATGTCAGCATTAGACTAAAGAGGGCTTCTTTCTTTGAAAGTCATTGTGCTTTTCTTGTGAACTGTACCATTTAGACTTCTTTTCCCATTTTCACCCCCCAGGCCTAGATGAGGAGGAAACGAAACGGGGAGAAAAAATGAATAGAGAAAAGTCATTGAACACTTTATTGAGGGCCAGCTAATTTCGGTGAGTACTTACTTGGATATCTTATTTAATTTTCAAAGCAACCGTGAGTTAAGTACTGGCTTTTTGTTTTTGTTTAGCGACATCTGCATTTTACATCTGAGAAACCTATGGCTCAAGTAATAGGGATAGATCTATATATACATCCAGGCAGTTTGGCTCAGTTTTCCCTTCCTGTATTGTCTCCTGGACAAAACAAGCAGTGGAGAGAGTTGGAGGTTGGGAAAGGAGGAGGGAGAGAGAGGATGGGATGGTGATAGGGGAAAAGAACAAGGAAGAAGGATTAGAAGTTGGCCTGCAGGGGAAGCTGAGGCAGCAAGGATCTGGAGTTTGAAGGAAACTCTGAAAATATCTGCCTGGAAAAGAATAGTACTGCATAATTACTCTGTGTACTTTGTGTCCATTATCTGATTTATCCATTTTTGTATCCACTTTGTATCCATTATCTGAATAATCATCACAACCAGCCAATGAAGGAGATATTGTTATTCCTATTACATCTGAGGTCCGAGAAGATGGATGGCTCTTTAGTCATTTCCTCTTCCCTGGGGAGTTTAGAAAGGGCGGCTTTTGGTATCCAAAGCAACCCTTAAGCCCTTTTTGGTCTCCCCAAAGGCCTTTCTTGAGCTTGTCCCCAAAAGTCAGTGTGTGTTCAGCTAATCTTTGGCCTTATCCTCTTTTCACTTGGTTCTCCTTTAGTTAATGAGCACTCCCGTGGGCCCCTGTCCTCTGGCAGTTTATGGTTGAGGTGGGGGGCAAGGCAAGAAAGCAGTATTATAACACCATTTGCACAGGTGTGTCAGGTACATCTGGCAGGGTCTTCTGTCCCAGACTGAGGGAGAGTTTGGGGGATTTGGAGGAGATAAAGGATGTTTTCCTGGAGGAGGGAATGCTTGATTTAGATTTTGATGGATGGAATTGAAAAGTAACAAGATGCAGAAGTCTGGGGTTTATCCACAATGGGCATAAAGTAGATAGTGCTCAGTCAAAATTTGCAGATTTAATCAATGAACCCATGAGCTCTTGTTCACCTTCATACCCACATCATCACAACTGTAGCTGTTGGATCGTATTCATTTATTTAAACACACAGCTAGAAGTTCACTGAACTGTGAGTATGGTATGCTGGCATGATACACCAGCAACCCCCAAAGCACCCCTTCTTTTATTCCCAATGATGGAGCACTTAAAGGAGCCCTTGTGCAGATTGGAAAATGGCACCCTTCCTCTAGGCAGACTTGTATTTGCCCCCATTTGCCACATAGCTGGTGAAGCCAAAAAGTGTGTGTATCATATGAGTGATTGCCTCAGGGGATTATGGAGGCTGACAAATCCCCAGATCTGCAGGTGGCCCTCTGGAGACTTAGGAGAGCTGATGTAGCTCCCATTCTGAAGGCCAGCAGGCTCAAGCCCCAGAAAAAGCTGATATTTCAGCTTGAGTCCAGTGACAGAAAAAAACAGAAAACAAAACCCAAAAAACACTGTCCCAGCTTGAAGGCAGTCAGGTGGGAGGAATCCTTCCTTACTTGAAGAAGGATCAGACCTTTTGTTCTATTCAGGCCTCCAACTAGGGATGAACCCCCACCCCCCATATTAGGGAGATTAATTCTGCTTTACTCAGTCAACTGATTCAAATGCTAATCTCATTCAGGAAAACAAACAATGTTTGATCAAATATCTGGGTACCCTCTGGACCGGTCAAGTTGATAGATAAAATTATGCATCACCATGGTGCTGCTTTGGAATTAGAGCATATTAAGTGAAAACAAAAATTGCTCAGGCAACAACTTCTTAACCGAAGGCAAGTTTACAAAGAATGTTTATTGAAAGCAAAAGAAAGAACAGGTCCTAAACAGAAATTAACGTTTACAAACATGGTAACTATAAATGCTATTGCTCAGGATGTTGGAAATACAGCTTGGAACTTGCAGAATAAATGACCTTTAAAAATCAAGTTATTTTGGGCATTTTCTATTGCAGTTGATAATCAAGTAGATATATAAAAGCTATTTGTGTTGTTGAAAATTTCGATATGACTAAATATCATCTGGAAAAGTGCCCCCCAAAAGGCACATCATTAGGAAGTGGCTTTTTTTGTGTGTATGGAGAAGAATTTTGAAAATTTTAAAGTAGATTTGTCAGAACTGGTAACCATGACTACAGATGGGATTCCTGCAGGGGTCATTTTTAACATCAGACTTATGGAACATAAGCACAATGTGACAAGATTTTGTCAAGACACAGAGTCTTAGTCAATTTATTGTACCATTGACTAGAAACCATTTTGAGCTCTAAACTTAAACACTATACAAAAATAATAGCCGTGGTAGTTAACCACGCAGTTCATGCTCCAAATAGCTGTAAATGGATATAGTGGTTGTTGAAAACATCTTGAATTGCAGAAAGAGATTTCCTTGCTAATGTTAGCAAGGAAAATATGTCCACCTTGTCTCATCAGGGAAGACTGGGTCAGATATAGTCTTTTTGGTTGATGATATATCTCCTTTAAATATTCTGATATCCCCCATCTCCCTTTAAAAAAAAAAAAATCACATAAACTGATTTGTTCATAGATAGCAAAATTGTGTCTTTGGGAAACTCATCTGGCTAGGGATAACCCAGGTCATTTTCTGCACAGAAACTGGTTTCCAGCTATGAAAATTATGGTCTAACCTCATATTGAGCATCAAAACTATGATCCAAAAAAGGTACTCCGATTTAAATATTTAAACTTTATGATAATACTGCTTAACTTGTCCTTTCCGATTTATGTCATTACTATGAATGAAAATTACACAAGGAAGTTTTGCTCTTTAAGGACCTATATAATAGCCTCAATCTTGCATCTTAGCCTGGAAAACATAAAATACATATATTATACTTTACAGAAAATACCTCATGAACCATTCTTTAAAACAATGTTCCACAACAGTATTGTTGCCCTCTCTTCCACCTCCCAGCCAACCCTGGGCAGGGAGCACTTGAAAATTTATGTGAGTATTTTTTTAGACTTATTGTTGTCACAATAATTGAGAGGTGAGATGGTTAATACTAGCTTTGGCAAGATGGATGCTAACAATCCTGCAATGTGTGAGAAAATCTTGTAGAATGAACACTCGCTCCTTGTCCGGCATGGGTAAAGCTTGTTTATCTTTTTTTTTTTTTTTTTTTAAATCTAGAACCTAAACAGGTTTTATATATAAATGCACAGCAATTTTTTTTTTACAATTTTTTTATATGCACAGAAGTTTCCAGGAATGTAACTATTGAGTAAACAGAGGGAGGCTTCTGCTTTGCTTTGCTTGGAATTATGAGTTGGTTAGAACTGCAAGAAAACTAGAAGAGTTGTTCCTCATTTCAAATATCATGTCATTGCAGTAATAGTGTTGCTGTTATTTGGGTTGACAATACAGCAGCCCT